GTATATGGAAAATGTATGGGGAAATTGTTCTTTAGGCTGCACTCAGAGTTCTTTCAACTTAGCTTTACGTTTCATCCGATCAGCAGAGCAAAGTTTAATCAATCGTTTTTCTCCTTCACGTCGTGGAAAATCATGTCATGTTTTTTGACAAAATAATATCTTTGACAATCGCAGATCGAAGGACGAGATTTCAACTTCCATCTTCCAAACAATTTCACAGACTTTTCATCATTGATCCACAATTTTTTCTGGTTTTCAGAATAATATGAAAAGCTCTTTATTCCATAAATAAATAAAGAGTTTTTTTCTCTTCACTGCACACTTTCGACTGCCCTCAAATATGCATTGCACTGTAATCATGAATGGAATAGTTGTGAATTTTTTCGTGAAAGCAACTAAAAGTTTCCCCATAACATATCGGCAACGAAAAAATCTGAACAAATACAAGACAAGTTCCATGAAGTGCAGAAAATCTATCAACTTTTCTGCATGAGAGACAATTTTAAATTTCAAATTAGTCCACTCTATCTTAAAGTTAAAGTGCGAAAGTTTTATACCAGAGAGAGTTTCATGGGAAATTAGGTTCAGTGCATATAAATTAAAATTCACCCAGTGTTACTCCTTCATAAAAGGCTCTACGACGCCGAGGAAATGTGCAAAGCTACAGTGCGGATGATAAAAATAGAGATTTGTCGCATTAAACGGAGAATCTCACGAGAAGAGCGTTGGGGAGTTATGAATTTCATAGAGGATGAAGCGAAAGGGATTAAGAGTGATTTCAATACAAAGTGACTGTGATTAATGTTGAAAATGCAATAGTAAATTAGTGCTGTAAAATGGTTTTAATCTGATGGTGAATAGTTCTTGCCGTGCATTGAAGCATGTTAAGAACAAACAATGCAAACAAATGCACCATTTGGAAGCATTGACAATGAGCCAATAATCTATATAAACGAGGTGAAACACATTACGGAAATGCATCCATAGAGCAAATTAGTAGCAACACATTGAAGGGCTTTTGCCAAAACACTGCAAAAATTACAACTTTGTGCAAATATATTGGTGCCACAGCAACGCCAGTGATCTGTTATGCTGAACTTTAATAGCGTGGCAAAAAGCTTAGATTGCGAGTCCTTCTCAGGTGTGCGCGTCAAGGAAATTACAAAGTTTCGCAAAGTATGCACGACTTCCTCTACAAAAAGCAGAACATGATTGAAAAGGAAGCTGAGACACATAAAAAAAAGTGCGACTGAAATTCAAATGCGAACGTCTTGTTGAATAAATTTAATTTATTGCCCAGAGTTTCACATTCAAAATTCACACAGATAAAGTGTGGTCGAGATATTAAGGAGTTGAGTTATTAGCATAGCAAAATTATGTGTGTTGCGAATGAAAATTATTGGTTCATTTTCACGTGCATTTGAGTGCATTTAGCCCAGTAAAAGGGAGCATTATTTTAACATGAAATAACTTTTACCGGCAAAATTTTCTTTCGAACACTCTAAATTGGGACTTGAGGGGTTTGAAGCTCTATGAAATGACTTTGCTTAAAAGATTCCAAACTCGTAATTATTAAATTGAATAATTGCGCTGTTCGCTTGAAAATTCACGGATCCCACTTAATTGACAACTGTATAGTGTTAATTTGATATTAACAGAAGCAGAACACCCCTTGAATTTGTACATAGAAAACTCTCTCAATTTTCATGCATTATTCATTCGAAAATTAAAATTCTGCCTTTATGAAATTCCGAGAATCTTCCAGAAGTATTCTTCTATGTTTTGCTGGAGGAAATATTTCTCTATTCAGCGGATAGAATTATATTTCGCGCGAATTGCATAAAATTTCATTTATTTCAATCCAAACGTACTGCACAGACGGGCGAAGCGGAGAGTAAAGAAAGCTCTTTGTGTGGCGATTAGTGGTTTATAGTTATTATCATTTGGGAACAACTACCAACAAAATTGTGCTTATGATATGTTGTTCATTGCACATTTTCCTAATTGTATTACTGTCGCAAAAGATATTTCATGTATTTTACAGCGACACATGCAAATTGCAGCGGAGGGAAAACTTGTCTCACATGCATTATTTATTTGTTAAATGCGCTCCATTCTAATGTTGTTCCATTCACTTCCAAAATCTCGTCTCAGTGTTTATTGCTTGGAGAATGGCCAAAATGCAACTTTTCAATCGACAATTGTGCCTCATTTTCGAAACTGTTTAAGCGTCAATATGGCGATGCCTAATAATTCGTCCTGTAAATATGTTAAGATTCTGAGCCAAAACACATATCTCCTTCCGCCCAGGAGGGGATAAATAACCAATTGACTTGCGATGAATATTTGAGTTTAATTAGCGAATGGCCAGAGAAATGGGGGAATAAATAATAAGCAGAGATTGTCTTCATGGTCATGTAGATAATTTAGTAGTTCTGTAATTAATTTTGCATGCCACATTGATACTGAGTTATTTGGCCAAAAAGGGCCTGTTGTGAATTGTCAATAGCACTTCCAGCTAATTTTATATCCATAAATATCATGAAATCACGCAAATGATTGTTCTCTATGTCATTTTTCTCTGTTTAATTTATTATTTTCACATATTTTAGCACCGAAAATGTTTATCCATATTTCAACAGAAAAATTCATAATTAACACCCAAACTTCCATGACACATCATGTGAATAAATTCCGCATGCACTGCCCTTAAATTATCCGGAATCATTTTCGTTATTATATGCAAAAACGAAAAAGCACCCAGTGATTGAAGAGCAGAAAGCCCAATTGTGAAATAAATTTTGAAACACTCTTTAATATATTAAAATCAGCCCTTCGAGGGTTCCTATTTGCAATTCCAAATTGCTTGACAATTTTCAGACACGTCTGAATATTTCACTGACCTATAACTATGTATATGCATAAAGATTTATACGGTCCCATTGCGAATGGTCCAATGAACATTATCAATTAATTTACAACATTTACCCTCCGGGAACTCACTCTCTTTCAGCAGTTTGGAGGAATTTCATTTGGATCGCCTGCAGAACTTTGTTGAGTTTCCTTTCAGCTTTGGTGTGCAATTTTCTAAAGTCCCATTCAAAAATACCCATCAACTTCTTTTTCATTACGCCATGCCCAGGTAGACAGGGCGAGGGAAATGCCACGGAAAAGTTTTATTACTGTGAAATTGATAGAATGAAGACTCCTCAATGGACAGCCAATGATAATGATCGAACTATTGAGGAACGAATGCGCTTACAGTGCCCGGTCGTAAAGGTGCTTCTGCCCTTTGATTTTTCCTGTCTTTCACATACATTTTAATCAAAATGTCTTTTGACATGCGAATTGGAAAAACGTCAGTTGACAGAATTTGTGGTCAGAACTGAAATATTGATTTCTGAATTTATACAAAGAAAATCTCATAATAAATTTTATCACGATACCAAAAGATGTAGCATTAATATAGATTTGCATAAAGAGTGTGATATATGTAGAAACTCTGATAGAATTAAACAACGTGTAAACGAACAGAAAAATTCAGTTGATGCAAATGATAAATTTCAAAATTTTATAAGAAACAATAGAAAAGAATAGAAATAAACTTGTAATATATAAACAATATCGGGGTAGAAAAATAAGCGGATCATAAAGTTCAGTGTCACTGGAAGGGCATCAATAGTAGTCCTGACTATTGAACCCCACAAAATGAACTGAGCCTTTATTGGCGACCAAGATTTAAAAGAGCATTAAAAATGGCTGTAGTTTAAATTTCAAGAAAAAGTGTCCGGAATCTTTCTTAGGCGGTGAGAAATTAATTGTGAAAATGTTGTCACGATTGTTTAGAGAATTCAGCGAAAAATGACATTAATTGAAATTTATAGTCGAGATGTGTGTATGTTTAGCATTATCCTTCAAGTTCTCACATCTCGCACATACAGCATGGCACTCTGCTATGTGGAAGGCGGAGTAAATAGGGGCGCTTCCTGGCTTATGTAAATTGCACTATAGGCGCATTTCACTCGGGCGCACGGCACAATTGCTCCAACACACATAAGTGCTCAACTATAATTCCTAAATCATTTGTGTACCCAAAGATCTCCACCCGCCCTGACTTCCGCATTTCCATTATTTTCTCAAGGAAGAATTTAACACTTGTGCTCATTCAAATCAAGTTCATGTCGGAAAATTTCACTTTAACACATGAAATTGTCATCGCTGATGCCTCTTTCGTGTACCAGCAGACATGCTTCATTGTGTATTTCCCGAAATGCGTTGCTGAGGCAGAAATTTAATTCACTAATTACACAAACCAACTGAGGTACAACGATGTGTCCCATGGGAGGTATTTTTGGCGCTGTGAAAAAGAAGCCAGCGCGAAAATCTAATGCCTGAGCAAAATTAATTTTCATTTTCAGTTTATTTGTCCATGATAATTAAATTCCCATAATAATCGATGGCAATGCTGCAAAAATACGAAAAGCGCTCTCATGTTAATCTCCATTATCCACTATCTGTGTCACCTGTATTTACCAATTTATTCATAATCACAAATAGCAAATGTACATATAAGCAAATTGAATATATTTTGGCAAAACTATTTGTCAGTGAAAGCATCAATTGAGTTACCAAATCGTACTTTTACCAATTTTCACAGCAAAATTTCATTTATATGATGACAAATTATTTTAGTTTCATTTAATGAAATACTCAATATCGAATCAAAGAAATAAACAAAAATTGCAAACTATGTAGCATTAAGTGATATTGAGGCGTCAACATATGCTCTAATCATGCAGATAACAATCAAATGAATTGAACAAAATGCAATTAAATAAAAATTGATAGCCAGAGGGTTTTATTTGCAATTTTGAGTGGATATTTCATTGTTGTTCGTTAAAATTTGATTGTTCATTTTCCAGCGCACGTCTCTTAGTAACACTACCGTCCGCGACCCTTGCGGTGGCGCTGCACACCAGTGATAAGCAAGACAGCTGAGAAACGTAAACATTGTGGAGTGTTTTGATGGATAGAGAGGAAATCGCGTGGTTTTTGTGAAGAAATCCCCCCGGAAAGTGTTGAGAATGAGTTCTATTGAGGGCCTTCAGTGGTATCCACGCAATCCCGACTACTTCTACACGTGGGGCTGCGAGATGAATGTGTACAAAGTGGACACGAGTCTGCGGCAGAATCTGTCGGTGACTTCCAACGCGTATCTGGATCTCTCGCCCTGCACTCACGGGGTGCTCCAGGTGACGGAGCCCCGCTATGTGTACATCCGCTGCACGGCCCCATCCTACCAGCCCAACTCCCTGCTGGCCGCCGCCGGCCTGGTGAACGGCAAGGCGGTGTTGTGCAACTTCCTGACCCACTCCGACTCCAGCATCGAATTCACGCCGAAGCACTCGCGCGCCTGCCTGTGCCTGGCGTGGAGTGAGACAGAGACGAATCTGCTGGCCATGGGATATGACAGGAATCGCTCGGACCACAGCATCTTTGTGTGGGACACGTCAAAGGACCTCAGCATTGTGCAGCAGATCGGCCTCTCCGAGACTGCCCACTCGCTCTGCTGGGACAAAAGCGCCCGCGTCATTTATGCAGGTACGTGGCCCTTCAACGACCAAATCCCCACAGTTCCTCCGCAAACGCCGCCAAAGAGCGGCAGAGCGCCAATTCCGCACTATCAATTATGCATTTTCAATTAATCCCTCTCGCGCTCCGAGAGGCCAAATTGAACAGGACAGCCAATTAAGGGACGCCAGAAGGGGGCCCGGCTGAGGGCGCAAAGAATTAAGTCGTCAAATGATGCGTACCTAAAGGGATCTCCTCGTCGCCCGCACAATGAGATTAAAATGATTGAATATGCCAAGTAATTAATTGGCTCCATTCAGTGCTTGAGGCCATCTTGAGGCCCTTGTGTCACTCTTCTCCTCGCACGGAATTGCATTAAACAATAAATTGTTTGCAAGTAATTCGTATAATTAGGTTCAGAGTTGCTAAAATTGAGGGGGAACTTTTCCAGTTTAGAGATATCCATTGGAAAGTGTTTCAAATAAATTAGGTAAATAACGCAGTCGCCAATATAAATTGCAAGAAGCGTAAAATTGCAATCTAAATTTGTAGGTTTTACGAATTTGAATATGAAATCAGTAAAGTTGCAGCGACTCTTAACATCAAAATTGTTTCTCGATTTAGGCGAAGAAAGAGCGATTCGAAAAATACAACAATTTGTTTCCTTTCTCGTTTCATATTTGTAACCAAAAATCACTGTAAATCAACTTAAATATAAATTCGTCTATATTTCCCACATTTTAAGAATTGCATTGGAATTTATGAAATCTGTGGTAAATTCATTGCCATTCACAAATGTTTATTCTTCGAGATTTATCACAAAAAGATCATCTCAAAAGCCAAAAGGATTTCTGGCTCTAAATCCTAAAATTTATTAACATTGCTGAGGGAATCGTAAAACAACTCCCGGATGTTGTATATGATGTTATTTCATAAATCAATGGTGCATAAAAGCGATGAGGAATGTCGACTCTTGAGAAATATATTCATGGGTCGATCGTAAAATATATTTTGAACGCTTCATCTTCAATCTTGTGGCACATTTGCAGTTACAATTTCAACTCTGAAGTGGATTTTCAATTTAATTCATTGTCACACACTTTAAACATTTTGAGATAATTTTATATATATTTTTCCATCCACTTTTCTTAACTTCTTCCCTTATATTTATCCACCCTGTTGAACTGTGGAAAATTGTAGTGAATGTGTGATAATGATGGCACTAGAGGGAAAGACGAGCGATAAAATAGCAAACAAAAATGAGGATGTATAAGACAGAGCTTCAGAAGCCATGGGAACATCTTGCTGGAAGCCATTGAGAAATGCACGCTGTTGCAGATTTTTTTCTTACTCTGCATCACTCATGAGCAGAACTTTCTTCGCTCGCACACACGAGTGCCTCTAAAAAGGGTAATTTTTCTCAAATGCACCGAATTTATTCTGGCAATGTTTCACCCTAAGACACGCTCAAAACTCAATTTTCAGCAGCAAATGTCACATTTGACGTCGCAAAAGCAATTTTTCATAGAGAATAATAAATAGTCTCATTTGTAGTTTTACACTGAATAAGGCCTCTTTCCCGATTTCTTAATTGTGTCTGCGTGTGCCTTGGTAATTTTGTGCCATTCCAGATGATAAAAATGATCTCAGCAAAACTTTGTTGCGCTCTCATGAGCAAATTTCAGTAGAGCATTTAAAATCTTTGGGGTGGCTAGAAATAAATTGAAAGCGCAACATTCTGTTTGAAGATGTTTTTCTTCATCTTTTCTTCACCCACTTTTGGTAGTTGAGAAACAATTTCCAAGTATCATTAACGACGTCCAGGAATTTCTTCTGTTCACCAGTTTTTTTCTGGCCTCCATTCTGTTTGTTTTATGGTGGTCCATTCTTGTGGGGCAAACGAGATATGGAGGCGCACAGACAACACAGAGTAGGAAAAGAGCTAATCGATTTTCCCTCTGCCCCCATTCCAACGGTTTATGCCATGAGAAATATAAAAGTTTAAGCATATTTGCGTTAAATTGGAAAATTTTCCATCCGAAAATCTCATGTCTTGACATCAAAATATTTGCGAAGGGTGCGCGGCGTCTCACGTTGAATTAAATGAATATTGCCAAAAAGTGGGCAAAGTAAGTTTTTGAACCACTCCGTCGGCGGAGGATTAGAGTGGATTAAAGTGTTGACTTTATGTCCCTTGAGATTTCTCGTGAGATAATCTCAAATGTTGCGACATGTTCTTCACTCCGACAATCTCCAAATATCGCGACTTTCCCTTCACTTGTCGCCAGAAAATGCGGAATGGCAGTCTCAGAGGCTCTATAATGGTATTTTCAGATAGATAAGATGTGGATATATTGCACAAATTGGTTTAATATATAAATTTAAATATTCCCCAAAGACGCATATTGATATATAAGCGTATGTATATTGCAAAGACAGAACGCAAGAGGGTGGCAAAAGCGCTGCTTTGAGGTGAGGAAAAAGAATTCAACCACAAATCTGGGGTGAAAGGGTGTGGAAATCTATAAATTCTCAGCTGTAAAAGACTTGGAGAAAGATATAAATTTTACAGCTAGCGTCGTGTTTAAAGTTCCTCGAAGAATGATCAATTTCGCTGCATGCTCTCGGAAGGAACTAATTTTGTGTGTACATTCTTCGTCCGGTGAAATAGATTTTCCAAAGTTTTTATTTTCCTGTGTATTGTCGATTCGTTTGCAGAGTGCAATTATGATTTAAGCCCCTCCCACTTTAATGCCACGCCCATTTATGGTGAAGTGTTAGTTTTTAGCATCTTGTTTCAATGCACGGAAAGCTTAATAGAGATGCGAAAAATATTATTTTCTCTTCTCAGAAGAAGGATAATGAGACATACAATGCTTGTACATAAAATAATAAGGTGTTGATTGGATATATTCTGCCATTTCAGTCATATTTTGTGAGAAACTCCAATTAAACATTGTCTGCACATATAATCTGTAGAAGTTGTAATAGTGAAAGCAAATCCGACAAGTTTACACACGGGAAAAATGTGTGTGGCATATATAGGTTCAAAAACAACTTCTGTGCTTCCCAACTTGCAAATTGTTTGTTCAATTAGAGACTTATGGGAGAAAATGTTGATTTCACGTGCGATGGGAAGGGTGTATCTTCCTCATGCTATGTGAGCCTTCCATCAAGAAATTTCATGCATTATAATTGAAATTCCCGGCAGACGAGGAGAGGGGGAGAGAGAGAGAAAGTCTGTCGGGACGACGTTGATCCTAAACAATCATTTCGCTGTGAGGATAATTCACATCTAACAACTGTGGAATTTAACCTCTCTGTCTTGCAGGCATGAGCCACAAGCATATCAAGGTGTTGGATCTGAGGTCGGGCAGCTCCAGTGTGTCAACAACCAGCACCAGGGCCATCCATGGGCTGTGCTTGGCTCCCGGTGGCCGCTATTTGGCCAGTTACATAGATAACAACCTGACTTTGTGGGATGTGCGGAATATCGAGAAATCGCTGAGTCAGCGACAGACACAGAAGAATATCAATCATGTGATTTGGTGCCCAACGAGGAGTAGTGTTTTGAGTATTCTTCAGAGGGATTCGCCATTTGTTCACCTCCTGGACCTACACTGGTCTGGGGGGAGTGACATGGAAGGTGAGCCCTACACCATGAAGCGCTACGCTGCTCCCTTCCAGTCAAGAATCCTGTCGGGCGCCCGTAATATTACAATTCAGCACATTTCGTGGCATCCAAAAGATTTGGAGAGAATGCTGGCTGTGACTGGTGCGGGAAATGTGACGGATTTCCAGGTAAGGAGTGTGGGTGTGTAAAGGCAAGAGTGTGGAAAAATTCAATGTGACTTTTTATTCTTCACACGACAACATAATCCATTGAATTACTAAACAGATCACCCTCGACAAGTTCCCCAGCAGTGGGGGTGAGAGAGACCCTCAATTTCCTCAAATTACCATGGGTTTCTGCTTAAAGTGCACTCTTTGATTCGAAATCAGCATACAAATATCCACTATCAGGCTATGAATATGAAAAATTCGCAACATTCCTCCCTTTTCACTTCGCATCCTTTTGGGTATATCTTCAATGCGAGTAGTATCGAATTTCCCATTCAAATATGTACAGAATAACCAAATTTCAATCTCTAAGAGCATGAACATCTCAGTGAAAATTTATGTTTTGTGATATTTCACATGGACATGACTTGAGCAATGCCTGAACAGGACTATTTGAATGGCCATGAGGAGGATAAATTGTCAAGGAATAATTTATACTTGACACAATGTTGAAATAGGGATTTAACCTATTAAATCAAAAGCTACAATTTCCTCATAACAATATAAATTTCTTTTTTAAATGATCAATTAAAAATGTGAGCTCAACACGTTGTTTAGCTTCCGGATACGAATTGGGACTGTTACAAACTCGATTTGAGGCGAAATCCAGCTCGTCACCGACGATCATAAAGAGGTGTATTGGATGCTATTTGTCTATACACAACATATAAAAATGATTGGAAATGTGGGCAATCATGTGAAAAATTTCTCTCGCAAAAATACTACATCGAGTGGCAAATCGGCAAATTTTCCTTGAAATACAATTTCCGTCAAAATTTCCGTAACTCTTGTATTTTATTTCCAAAACCTTCACTTCTGAAAAATGTTTCTCACGTGCATTCCAAATACATTTCGCTGACTCCAATTTTTTTCTCGACATGCTGATATGCGAGGAGAAGAGATGTTCATTCGCCAATTTCACGTGTGACTTTCAGGTGCCACAGCGCGTCGCAATTGCCTGGGATACGAAGAATAACTTGTGGGGATCGTCTGGAGTGCGTCTGGATCTCCAGCAATTTCCTGCCAATTCACCCAGTGTTTCGGGAGACTCCGTGGCGGACGTGACATCGAACACAGACGATGATATCTCAGCGGTTATCTACAGACGTGCCCTGATGGATTACGGCCACGGCACGGACATTCAGCGCAATGAGGAGCTCACGCAGAATCCGAAGCTGAAGAGTGTGTGGAAACTGCTGGCCCACATGAGTCGCGATGACTGGGCGCAGGGATTGAAGAAGAAGCTGGGCATCTCCAACACGCCCGATGTCATGCAGACGATGCATCGCAGTGAGATCATCAACATTCCATGGCAGGACTTTCCCTCCTTCGGCTACATTCGCGTCTTCCGCAGTGAGCATCGCGACTTTGCTCAGCAACTGTGCGGCTGGACATTCGACAGGGAGCGCGAAGGGACCTTCAGTGCCTTTATAGATGAGCTGATGATGCGCAAGGAGTTCACCAGAGCAGCTTTCATTGCCGTGGTGCATCTGCGCGTGAAGTACGCCATCGAGATTCTGGCCAAGGGTGCGGATTTGGCGACGCCCGAGCAGGCGAATGGCTTTCGCATGGCGGCAATCGCTCTGTCGGGCTTCAATGTGGAGAAAGGAGCCATTTGGCGCAACCAATGCGCTCAGGCTCATGCTCAAATTTCCGATCCCTACCTTCGTGCCATCTTTGCCTTCCTCGCTCCAGACTCTAGCGAGACGTACGACATGCTCCTCAACGAGACTGACATCTCACTGAGTAAGAAATCACTCTCTCTTTTTTTATCCTCACTGTGAAACTATACAATTTATTTGGAGCACTAAATTGCACAAGCAGTGACACTAGTTTATTTGATTCGCAATGAGTATTATGAGTTTCAATTAGAACAGTAAATTTGCAGATATGCTTTTCAATTAAATAATATATATTCTCAATTTCAGTAATTATTCTACATTTTAACTCATTATATGTGATGTATGTGTTATGGAACTGTTATTATTATTGTCGAAATGCTTTTTAGTGCTCTTAATTCACTATATAACGCGTCATGCATAGACTAATTTGCATAAGTATTGAGAATTTGTCGGGATCACTTTCTAACCATTTTTCATTAGTTTATTACAATCATTCAACTGAAACAAAATTAAACTTGAGTGGAAGGGACACAATTCAAAGAAGGACACTACCTTGAGGGACGCCCAAGATAGTGTGTCTTCCTAGCGATCAATTTCCTAACCTAAACGCCTGGATTTTATTTCAGTCACACGTGATCATATCTATACAGATTTATCTATACAGAAAAGTTGTAGAGATCTCAGCGGAGACATTGATTTATCACGGTATTGTACGAAAGGATTTGGTGAAAATCATCCTTCTTGCAAAATTCCAAGTGCTGGAGGTTATATTTGATTATCTCTATTTTTCTGAAAAATCCCTGTTCATTGAGGTGAAGAAAATTGTTCCTCTTCTTGAAATTGAGTCTCGTCTTGAGACGACGAGCAAAAGCTCAAGTATGAAATATTCAAAAGTTATATGTGAAACTTTCCCCGAAGATAACAGAGCGGAGAGAAAGTGTGAGAAATCGTGTAGTGCAGGCAACGTCGGAGTAATTAAAGTATTGATTGTTGACGTGGGTGTTGTTTGATTACACCCATTTAAAGTTCACCTCACAATTTTGTGTCGTATAGATTTTCTACGAATGTTGTTCCATCATTAGTGAGTTTGGCGCCTCTGCATCAATCACACAAAATTAGAATTCTGAAAATTCGCTAGAGGATCGATTGCAAGTGTGCAAGTGAGAAGGGGAAAAAATAGTTGGATGTACTTTGACAGTTTGGCAATGCAAGCATTTTGCCGAGGTGTTTTAAGTGTAGGTGCTCTCAATCAATAACTGTCGTAGACAGAAATTCCCTGTTTAACATGAAGTTTAACAGAGCGCTTCTCGTGCAAAATTGCATGGCGGATGGTTAAATGGAATGGATTTGAAAGAAAATTCCCTTAAGTATATTTTCTACCAATTTACCAGGAAAATTGCTGTGAAATTATGCAATTTGATGCCTTTATTGCAATTCTTCTTCTCTGTGCTGTTTTGCAATGCATTTCGCAATTGAAACACTTTTTAAAGGAATCCCAAGTTAAGCTGCTGCATTTATTACATAAGTTGGGTGTCTTCATGAGTTGACAATTTCATCTCAGCAAATTGTTCTAGTCATTTTGCATAGAATGTAAATTAAAGTGTCCAAAACATGTTTCTCTGAGCGTTGAAAAAAAGGACAGCGTCAATATTAGCGCAGATATTTTCCGTGGGTAGAATAACTTTTCCGTCGGAAAGTCAACATTTTCAAGTTTTTTGGGTGGAAATTTTCAAGTTTCACACAAAACGACGAAGATATACGGGATATTGTTAATAAACAATGCAGATGATAAATGTTGATGTTGATTGTGCACGATGGAGGAATATTCTTGATATTTTCTTCTCTTGTCTTGTTGCCTCTTTTTTCTTTTTTTGTGCTGCCGCCACTCGGCATCCCCGCACTGTCTTCGCTGTACGTGTTTCTGTTGCCAAAATCCTCCAATGGTAAACAGACGGAGAGCTGAGAGAGAACACAAAGTGTCGCATCTATTGTTGTGAGTGTGCAAATAGAAAATTTCCACTCCTATTCCGGAAAATTCACGTGAGTGTCGCGCAAAATATTGTGCCTGTTAATTGCTGTTTGAAGCGACAAATTACAGATACTTTTCCACTTAGATTTCCCATCGATTTCAACTTACCATCAGCATTTGTTGGGATGGGATTAATCGTTTCCTCCTATTTTTCACTTCATCTTCACATCTATTTACCCACCACTCGCTTTTATTCGTTTGAAATACTTTAAAAGCCGGTCGATTCCTTCCTGTTACATGCGCAAAATGTCGAGAAAGTCTTGAGAGAAGGCAAAGAGGAGTTTTTTTTCGTCTTCTTCTCCTTTCTGGTGGGAAAGAAAATTCCAATTGAAAGAATGAGGCTCGTATGCAAGAGGCAGAGTGGAAACCACCACTTGAAATGACTTCTGGCATGAAAATAACTGGGGAAATGATATAAAATTTATTTATTTTGTCGAGAAATCATTTTTTTTTCTTCAATCCTGGCCACGAGGGAGCGAAATGGCAACAGCGAAACTCGAGGCAGTTGATCTCAAATAAAAGCCCATTTTGTCTGGGAGTAAACTGTGCGGGATTTACGGATGAGGATGGGTTTTTGTACATAAGCAGGGAAATGCAGATGAAGTGCCATCAATGATTTCGTGCTGGAATATGATGTATGTGCACATGGTTCATAAAAAGCGCGAAGCCTTCGCCATATGTTACGTGACTAACACACTCTTTATGCCGCATTAAAATTTATTTGCAGATAAAAATCACAAATTTCAACAAGCTTAAACATGAGTACTTGTGAGATTCTTTTTGTTAGCATTCTCTCGAGGAGATCTCCTCATGGGTAAAACCCTACGTTTTTTTGCACAGAAGAAGCCCAGCACAGCTTGATGTGAATGAGCGTTGACACAAATTGGCGAATCATGCCATGGTGGGGAAGGCAGAGTGGAAGGGAAGCGAGGAAAGTCAAAAGGATAGAATGATTTTCAAATAATACACCGACAGTGGAAATCAAGGGAAAAAATCCACTCTTCTCTCACTCATTTTCTCAATGATGAATTATTCTCCACCATGAGATAAGGATGAAGAATGTGCCACTTTGTGCAGGAGAGGAAATGTTTCACTTGCCCATGAATTGCTACAGAGTTCATCGTCGGGATCAATTCTGAGGTCCGCAAAAGCTCCACAGTCAATATCTCAGCAAGAGTGTCGGAAGGAGATGTGGAAGGGACAGGAAAGAAGATTAAAGACTTGCACAAGTAGAGTCTCAAGTTGATTGGGGATTAATGTTCAGATTAATTTAAAAATTGATACAATCGCAGTACAGGTCGCACTGGATGTTGGCTAGAGGGGATTTTAAGGGAGGAATTATATCCAGAAGTGGGCGTGGCATTCGAGAGGGCGGAGTGTCATTGTCGTTTGCAATGTCATTCGAATTTATTTGAGTCTCAAATGGTGATGTGATCATGAAAATATTGCCACACTTCAATTGTTTTGATAGAAAATAGCCTCACTGATTTTAATACCCAATAAAATAGAAACAAGAAACATCAGAAGTGATTCACGCTGTATTTGCTTTTCAGCACAGCGAAAGGGACTATTTTTCTTGTGAAATTTCAGCACTCTGCGTTCGTGAAATTCTAATATCCTTCCTACTTAATCTTGTGTAAAGTATACACGCAAACTTTTCAATTAATTATTCTCTTAAGACCATCGTGCTAATGCGTTGAAATTTTATCGTTTAACACATTTGCAAACTTGTTAAAGTTTATTGATTTTTTATGGGAATTTTTGCTAGTTGTGCAAATTCAGTAGAAATGTTAGTTTTCACACTAAACATTTGTCAGCATGAAAGTCAATAAAGACAAACTGTCTCTCTCTCCGTCAGTTCTGTGTAAAGTCAAATATTTGAAATACATCTAGAGTTGCATCTTTACATAGGAACGCGAGAGGTGGAAATATTTCATTGTTCTAAAAGTTTGTGGAGGGTTGAAAAAGGCTAGAAATATCAGAGGTCAGACAATTAAACTCTATTAGTTAACTGCGATTATCAAGTGAACTCACGTGAAAGTTGGCAGAGAGAAAAGCAGCAGAGTCAAAGGAAAAATTTCAATTAACATACCAAAAGATCCCTCACGACTGTGTGTATGTGTGAATTCCGTGTGGTGGAAAATTCCATAATGTCAGTGCATTATCTTCACATTTCAATTATGTTTCAAGAGATGTAATTGAATAAGAGATGCTCTATAACTCGTTGCAGATCTCTCTCTTGGTTGATGGTTTGAATTCCTTGGAATTTTCCACATTCTGGACAAAACTCCCAAAGTCACATTAGTTTGTGAAAGTGGAAAAGCAGAGGAAAAAAGGCACTTTATCTTCCCACAAGCACACGACTAAATTGCACACTTTAAATCCGTGACATTTCTTCTAATGCCCTCGAGCATACAACACCCAAATTAATTGCCATGGTAATGAATATCACATTTATTTTTAATTAAAATGTATGATATTTATCTTGAAAAATTACTGAACATATTATGTACACCTGACGAAATTCTTCCAGACTGGCTTTGGGGAAATTTTATTTGTCAACCACAAACACACAATAGAAAAGCGTGGATTCTAATCAATTTTGGCGGCTATTGGCAGAGAGCTAAGACTCGGCTTGCGAGCAAATTTGGCTGCTAACAAGGATTAATTTAGAGCTGACAATATCACTCTAAAATGCATTTGACTGTGCGGTTTCGTGACTTTTTTTTTCGCCTCTACTCCTGTCTCATCAAAATGCCATTTCTCGTTTTGTCGGGTGGGGATTTGAGTGCTTAAAATTGCAAAATTAAACTCACATACAGTGGCTCTGTGTGGATGTGAATTTAAATAATTCTAGCTCCTCTAACTGGATGTTTTTCCTATGTATTTTATATTAGGAATTTGCATTTTTGCCGTCTTTCCTTTGAATTTCTCTCACTTGTATAGACGAGTTGGCAGGAATTGGTCGAAAAGAGGCCAACAAGATTAGCTCAAAGAGGCCAAGTTAATAATTCAGAGTCCTCCCGAGACGGGCTTTTGATCGCTCCGACAAGGGTAGAAGAGAACTCTCTTGGATATTTGAGAAGGTCAGCGTGATTTCTCTCTCTCTCACGTCCTTATCGATTCACAAAGAGTCTCTCTGCTTATCCCATTAAAATTTATCATATCGTTTCATCTGCATTGCCATTGAGATGTTACAGAAAAAAAAATCATACAATCATAATAGCTCAATGACGGTAATAAAGTGTTAAAGGTGAAAAGGCATCTCGCAAATTCACTCTTAGCCATTTATTTTTGGCAAATGACCCTCAACCCTGATCATTTTTGTCCGCTTTTATCATGTGGGAAAAGTCAATTAGGCGATTTGACGTTCGGAATGGCGTGTGGAGCCGTGAATATCCCCAATCAATACAATGTGCTACCATATAGCAGGCCCAATATATCTGCGGTGGATTTTACAAAATAGAATTTTCAGGGAAAAATCACTCGTATCAAATTAATTGATATGGGTTTGAGTTGGGACGATACAGTGGCTTTCGAAAGTGTATTGGAAATGGGTGGGCGCTTGAAGCTGGACGAGAGCATTTTGCTATGAAATATCACACTCAAATACCATTAGAAATTCCCTATAGAAATGCATTTGCAATATTGCGAGTTCCTCTTGCCAGACATTTCAGGAATGTATTGTATGCTCAAGAAGATTATTCAGAAAATGTAAATGTTGCACGATATGAGATCAATGGATTTTTTTCTCTCGCTGTTTTAAGTTACTATCGGAAATCCAGGCTCTGAAGGCTTCATTAGAGTACAACAAGGAGTACAACATCTGCAAAGTGACTAAATTATAAAGCTAAAAACTCTGAATTTATAGTATCAAACCGTAAAAGCTTAAGTATCTTTTGGAATGTTTATAAGAAGCCACAACATGAATTCTGACACAAAATTGGTTGTTTTGTTCTGACAAAACACATCCAAGATGCAAGATGAATTTATTCAATACGGCATATTTGCTCTACTATTTTCCAGTCAATGCATTTCTACACTCATTTTATCGAAATTCTCAAATAAAAGAGTTAGAGTTAGGCAAAAAGTCCATCTCGAGAGATGAAATTTTAAAATGCATAACTTGCTATAAAGTGTCGGACACGCGCGGAGACAATTTGGAGATTTAATTTCCCACTTTTCCCGTGAATCGCGGAAAAAATCGCGTCCGGTGAGGAACAAAGGCTGTGAAATTGTTCCCTGTGGACAATGGAACACGTTTACGGCAAATTTGCGTGAAGAAGTGGCCGTGAAAAGCGTGCTCAGGAAAATCACAGTAAATCGTGCTTAAATAGCCAGGAGAAACTTTGAGCAGAGGTCGAATGCGATGTTTCGCGTAATTTGGGGTAATTTTGACGATAAAAAGTATTTGCAGGAGTGCAGAGTCGATTGTCGGCGTTGTAAAGCGACACTGGAAAAATTGGTCAATTTTAGCATAATTCCACTGATCTTATTCATTATCACGATGGGATGAAAAAGAATGAAAAATTTTTATTAACCCTATAATCTTTAAGAACAGAAGTGGAACGGAAAATTGAGTTGATAATTCGATTTTCTACACCTTTCTTTGAATGAAATTTCTCTTGACTTAATTGAATGGACACTTTTGCATGCTGCTGTAACTGTGAAAAAGCCCATGAGAATTAAGTGTGGATTAACTGAGGCGCGTGTGTTCGATCTCTTTCAGGCGACCGGATGGGCTTCGCGTGTGTCTTCCTGTCGGATCAGCGCCTGTCGGATTACGTCAAGTCCTCCATTCAGACGTGCATCGAGAAGGGAGACCTCAATGGCGTCCTGCTCACGGGGGCGACAAACGAGGGCATCACGCTGCTGCAGAGCCACCTCGACTGGACGGAGGACGTGCAGACTGTGGCGCTGATTGCGGTGCACTTTATGCCGATTGACTTGATTCGGGATTATCGCGTGCAGTACTGGATCAGCAGCTACCAGGATCTGCTCAACACGTGGGGCCTGTGGGAGCAGCGGGCGCAACTGGATATCCTGCTGGGCGCCATCAGATCCCCGCCGCGCGTCTCCAAGTCCGTCTTCCTCATGTGCAGCTTCTGCGGCAAGAACGTGAGCGGGTGCATTCAGGAGGAGGTGCGGAGTCGCACGGGCACGGCGCACGTGAACAAGCTCTCCTCCTGTCCCAACTGCCGCAAGCCGCTGCCCCGCTGCGCCCTGTGCCTGCATCACATGGGCACCACGACGGGCAACGCCGCCAGTCAGCACCTCTGCGGCGGCCACTCAGCGCTCGGCTGGCAATCCAGGCCGTTCTCCAAGTGGTTCTCCTGGTGCCAGACGTGTCGCCACGGCGGCCACACGGAGCATCTGGTGCAGTGGTTCCAGCAGCACTCCGAGTGTCCTGTCACATCGTGCAACTGCAAGTGCTTCGCCGTGGACCAGCCCATGCCCAAGTTTCCCACAGAGAACCTCCAGGCCGCGCACACAGCATAGCGCGCCCTCAGTCTCTCCCTCGCGCGAAACCACATGTTTTCCACCCAGCGAGAGTTTAATAAATTTGACAACATATTCACGATAGCCCAGCCACTTTCAGCCAACCACGAGAGCAACTCACTCACGGGGGGATTTTTCCATGAAATACTCTTGCACTGTGCCAAAATGCCCTCCCTTGCCGCACAATTTTATTTTTATGACTTTTCACGCAGCGTCTGCCATGGAAAATGTGCTGCCATTGTCAAACTTTTGCTTTATGTGACTTAGTCAAAGACCTCCCCAAGCCACAGAGAGAGAGAGAGAGAGTGCAAAATTGTCTAATGAAAAACACACTCCTGGCGAAGGTGAAAAGAAAGCATGTCTCATCAATCACAGAAGCGCAAATCAAGGAGAAAATATGATGTGAGAAGAAAAGGAGCTCAACTGCCGCTTGGCGTCACTCGAAGGGAGAGCAAATTTGCACAATTGGCCAGTTTAGTCCTCCTCCAGGTCAAGAAGTCATCTGAGATAGCACGGAGCCTCTTGACCCCGGACTGGAAAGGATCTTCGGGGTTGGAGATAAAGGGGACTGAACAGGGGTGGAAGCCCTTTGAACATTATTATTTGACTTTATTGGGTCAACCTACGATTAAATTCACGTCCCGCAATTTGCAAGCCAATATCGAGATGGCTTTTGATGACTGGATAACATTAAATTTCTTGCGTACCTAAAATTGATGTCTCTGTGTGAGTGTGTTGACGAAATCTGAATGAGCGATGCGAGGAAACTTTAAGGGTTACATAGATTCTGGTTTATATTAATTTAGCATAAAGACTTACCGTGAATCACGCACAAGTGCATTTCCACAAAAGGAAATTTATTCAAATGGAGAATGAAACGTGAGTTGCTGTTCAAATAAAAGCGTCGAGAAAGACTCAAATTATCTCAACAGTGTTAGATTCGACCAGAAAAGTGCACACAATCTTGTGACAAGCATTCAGAGAGCTTTCTGCAGTTTCTAATCGAGGCCAAATTGAGTTCTGTCATCACATTCAAAAAAAAATCCATCCAGACGAAGAGTGAAGGTGTGACTAGAATGTGTGCAAAAACGGTGAAATTCCTGTGCTGTTCTCTCTAATCAGCTGAATATTTTTATGCTCCACAGATTGTGTGACTTGCCTTTTCCCTCACTTAATTTTCCGCCGAGCTGCATATTCAGGTGTAGTAAAATGGAATTGAGATGAATTTTTCTCTTAACCAGTCAGATGGAATATTCAATGAGTCGAAATATGGCAAACATCGAATTTCATTTCACTATTTATTCAGATTACTTCACTTATACAGATAGCAATTTTTCCATCAATATATTCAGATTATATGCAAACTAAAATTAAACGGTGACTCGTCACCGGAAATTAAAATCTTATGCTAGAATTTTCACATCTCTTCTCCTAAGCGTATATATTTCTTTACTCACATTCGGCAAACATTCATTCTCTCTATACAATAATATCTTATTTTATCCGTAGAAAAGGGAGGAGAAATTTATATATTAGCATTTTCGTACATATACCTACAAATGTATATTAAAAGTAAATAAAAAGAAGTATATTTACTCACGGTGATTCCTATTAATTCCACTCCCAAAGCCACATTTCGACAATAAAATTAATCCTTGATATCCACTTGTTCATATCTCGTCTTCATCATACGTTTTATGTAGGATTTGTAATCGTCTCCAGGACCAAAAGCACTCGCCTTAGTGCCTAAACCCGCTGCTGGTGCTCGACTTTCCGTCTACAATGAAACAGAAAACCAAGAACAGAATTGGAAGGGTGAAAAAAAAATATTACTTCTCATGCTTTCTTGTTTCTCTCTCTCTCTTATTCTCCTCATCTTTTAAATTGAAAGACATTTTCCAGAGAATAGCAGAGAAAATACATTTTACATTGTCCAAAAGGGGAGAAAACGCGCGCGTTGTCAAACTGAGAGTATATTTTAACCACGAGAATATGAATTGAACCCCCATCATTACTTTTAAATCTAATGCATCTTTCATGTTGCTTTTTGTCCACATCAATTTCCGAGGAAATTTAATTAATGGCCACAGAACAATGCAAGATAACGAGAGAGCGGGTGAAAAGTATTTGAAAAGACATCCTCACACCCACCCACACAAGATACACCACACAGTCTGTATCAATGTACACGGAATTAAATTGACTCTGAGAGATTCAATATCCTCACCGACTTTGATAGAAATTGCTCTTCTCGCTCAACATTTTCTCGAAACTCTCCCGAAAACACAAAGACATCGCTAAAAAAAAGCAGAATTTGAGAGACAAATCTATTCTGTGTGACCAACAATAGAGAGAATAAAATCAATAAATTTCTTCATTTGAGCTCTGGCTGAAAAAATCACCCAGTCAAACATTTTTTTTTTCAATTTCACCGATGAAATATATTGACCAATACAGTTTTTGTCTCTTGCCTGATGCGCAGCATTTAATTGATAATTTCCCCAATTTTTGTCACCCTCTTATTCGCTCGGTGAATTCATTCATAACCAACTCACTCTTTGTAATTGACTGATTTACTTTTATGACCACTCAAAAGGCTTTTATATTTTCAATCAAAACGCGCACAGCGTTGAAAATAATCATGAAAAATTGGCTGGAAATAAAACCCATTCGAATTTTAATGCTTATTGGGGAAATTCTCAATTTCAAATAATAAATTCAATCCTTTTTTCACTAAAGTGGGCGGAATTTAGAGCGAGAAAAGCTTCGTAAGCCGCCAGTTTCATAAGCAATCAACGTATTTTGTCACTTTTCTCCAATTCGAAGGGATTTCACTGTGTTTACTAACAATTGAACCTGAGATTGAAAAACCATCAGACAGAGAGAAGCGCAAAAATATTCTGAAAGGAAGAATTCTTTTAAACTAAACTAACTATTCTGTCAATCAAAATAGCTGCTAGGAAAATTTTCAATATTCGGAATTCCCAATGGAAATTTATTTCTCAAATTTTCTTGGCAAATCGCCTCTATTTGTACTATTTTGAGACAATAAACCCTATTTTAGTGTGCCAAATCGTGCTTTTTATCACTAATTAAACCATTGCCTTTCAATTTAGACTATTTTCTGCCAAAAACAATGCTTGCAAAATGTTTCTGGGAAAAAGTTGGAAAGAAAATCATCCATGTGTGCTAACACAGTTAGAATCAAACTTATTGCTAATTCTCATAGTCAAACTATCCCTTTGATAATTCAATTTCTAACAATAGAAAGTTTGAACTTCAAAAATTCGTCTTCTGCATGAATAGTTAAACTTCCTTACGACCCTTGTTTAAGGAATCGACAAGGCACAAGAGACTGTAAGAAATTTTGCACTAACCAATGCTGCTATTTAACGTTCAGCTGGAGGGATTATTTTACTTTCCAAAGCTCGCAAAGTATCTTAAAAATTCCCCTTTGCATTATGCATGGCCGTAGTTTCACAACCATAAGCGCTGCAGACCACATATGGGAAATACTTTTCAACAAGTCCTTCGCCCACTCTTGCAGAATGTTTCACAAACTCCCGCTCTATGTCACTCTTGTATTTCACCCACAATTTTCTTTGACCCTCTCCTTTCTATCCTTAACCAGTTTAAGTGTGTGTGTGGAGAATATTAAATTTTTTCCCCTCCTGAAATTCTTACTCTCTAAAGTTATAAACTTTAGACTTTTGGAGGCAAAAGATGTTTTTGCAGTTACGAATTTTGCAAGCAAGAGAGAGAGAGAGTGAGAGTTTATCAAGTAAATTTCTTTTGAGATAATAAAGACAATGTTGACATTATTTGCGATGCACTGTCACAAAAATTTCCCCCTCATTTGCACTGAAAGTATAAAATAATGCCGCCAGCGAAACCACAAGATTATAACACAAATTGTTTATGCAAAATTCAATTAAAATGTAATAACAAAAGTGACAACATTATTTTAAATTTGCAACTATGCGATGCACTTTTCCCGTGGTCTTTGAGGGTGATTTTCTTCTACTTAATGTCTGCTTTTCCAAGAACCACTTGAAACATTAAATTTTAATTCCCACTTTTTTGCTTTCTTTTCGTTTCCACTTTAAAATGCTTTCAGAGTGAAATTAAAACAATGCGATTGTGTAGCACAAAAATTCACCGTCATTTTTCCACATGAATAGTTTTGCATTTCGCACAAGTGTAAAAAATCCTATTGTCTTTTGTGCATTTCTATTTTAGCCATTGATAAATTTAACAATGAATTAACTATTTTATACATCCCAATGCATTCTTTGCATTTTACCATATCTTTCTATCTCATTTCGCACTGTCTTTTGAGCACGAAAATGCATTCAAATACACAATTGATTGTATGACAAAAAAATGCACTCTAAAGCAAAAAAAGGGCGAATTTTTTTTTCTTTTGAAGAATTGAGATTGAGTCAGAGTGAAACTTTTTTTTAAATTCATTAGTCTTTTCTTCTGCAAAGAAATTTACCATAAAATAGACTACGTGAAAACTTCAACTTTGCACTTATTGCTAATTATTATTAGAGGAAGAAACATGAATTTCCACGCTGAAGTTACAAATTAACCAACTCGCGAGAAACCATCACAAGAGCTAATGAGATTTTAAAACACCACATTTCCTAACTTCAAATAGCTCAAACATATCTAAGATGCCGATAGAAAATATAGAATTAAATTAGGGATTAAAGTTTCAATTTCCCCTTTGACTCTTATCCAACTTCCACTAGTCAAAGAATATAGAGAAAGTTTCGCTATGAGCAAGAGAAACCATCCGGTTCATCTATTGAACTTTGTCATGAAGCAAAATGTTCTCATTGGAAAAATAGGAATCTTCTCTAAAATTCACCAAAATTTTATCATGAAACAACTCAAGTTTAATCCTACTTTTTCCACTCGTTAATTGTGTGCTCTTTTCCTCCTCGAGGCACTTCATCAGCTTCAAGAATAAGGCGACGACATACAAAGGTTTCCCCTTCTCTCAATAGAAAAGTGTTCCAGAGAGGGAAGCAAAAATTACAGAATTTTCCAAGATGTTTTTCTTACTTGACCCAATTTTGCATGAGCTTTATCCACCTTTTGCACTTACTTTTCAACTTTGCCGCACTATAAAATGTGGAAGTTAAACCTCTCAATCTTCACAATATATAACACAGCACGATGCCGTCTGTGTCCCGCGAACAGCGAGATCGCTTGTCCGCTTTATTAACAGAGATTTAAGATACCGTCCATCGGCGAGACGCGACTTTAAGCTGTTGCCATAGACAGAGTATGTGTATAGAGATATTAACGAGAAGAGCAGCAGTAAAACTTTCTTTCAACGACGGACTTGAGTGTATAGAACGACCATGATAAAGAAGATTGTTCTTTCAGCCTCAAAGACATGAAATGACTGGGAAAGAGGCAGAAATATTTCAACAATACCTTAAGTCTTTTACTTAAAATATGTATTTATATCATGAAATAATAATATCAATTCCTAAGTGCTTTTTTAAAATTAATGAATTCGCGAACAATACTTTTTTCTGTCCAATTTCTTATACATTAAAATTCGAAGAAGTCCAAAACTGACAAAGTAAATCTTTACTCTTTGTTCTTAATAAGGGAGAAAACTATCTTTAGTGGACTCAATCGCTATGAGGAAATTCTATGATATCCCTTAATATTCCTGGCAGTATAATACATTATGTCTTAAGTGGTTTCTTCAACGCCCTTCGATATGGGGAACATGTAACATTATTGGGATAATTTCAATAACACACGTACAAGTACACACAGCCTTGTCTGACAGCGTGCTTCAGTGGTGGCAAACAAAACAATATTGGGAATATTTTGAATTAGATAAGAAACTCTCTCTCTCTGCAAATGGAAGAAGTCTCGTGGAACAAACTAATTATCACAGAGTCTCGAGGGCACATCTGAACCCTGCAAGAATATCAGTGCAAGTCGTAAAGTCCCCGTTCCTGTCAACCCCTTTTGATATACGCGATACAACGAAATAAGCTAGTAACCTGCGGTTTGTAGTCCATTACACTGACATGTATTGAAATCCAAGAAATGTATTTCTTCTTACCTATGAGCATGTGTGTAATTTAAGGTTACAAACTAGCAACAGTGGCTCTCTATAAATTGTAAATATCACATATCAAAAACAGGTGATAAAATACAACACAATCTCATGATTTCTCTCCTTAAATGCGACATTCTGTCTGTATTCACAGAAAGTAAGAGAAAATGAAATAAGGAAACTTTGATAGTTGAAAATTAAAATTGTATTGTGGCCTAGATGTGGTAAGTTTTATTGCACATAACACAAAATTCTTGAGTTACTCAAATATACCCCAAAATTCTGTGGTATGTGTGGCTTAAGTATAAATTCATGGTGACTACTATGGTATGTAGTAACTCCGTGTATAGTTGAATTTTCTTAAGCCAAAACTCCATTCTCATAATAAATTCATATCTACCAACGCCAGACGATCATAATCCCGCCTATATATTTCAACATTTTACATTTTCCAGATAGAATTTCGTCACACATTCTTCGTCCTTCCCTCTTTCTCTCTCTCTCTCATCTTTTTTTTTCTCAACTGTGTATCGAGTATCATTCATTTGCTATGAAAATATCATTCAATTTGATCAAATATTATAAGAAGATACAGTGAGGGAAATAATACGCATAATATGAAAATGAGTCTACATTGTGGAAATCGATATTTCCATTTTCCACCGCAGCATCAAATAAATATTGGGATTTTCCCAGAATACGCAAAATTGTATGTCACAGAATTCACACAACAAAATGAATATATTCAATTGGTTACTTTTTTCCCCTGTATTTATGCCTAACGTTAAATTCAATAAAGCATCTTTTATCATCACCATTGTTGTTCACTATAAAAAAAAAACAACCCACAGTCAAATCAAATTGAATTGCATTGAGAAAAATAGATTAATACATCTTGTTTGTGCTGCTCCGTTTTGTCTTCTTCTTTAAATTAATTCCTTGTGTATTTGATTCACTTTCTTTGGCAAAATGACAAAATATATTTATCATTTGCTCCATGTGAAAGAGAGGCGACGAGAGAAACCTTTACAGCATTCCTTCTGCGCCCATCTTTCACCCGCCTCCTCATGAGTTAGAATGTGATACAGGATAAAGGATATGTGTTTCCGATAGGAAACCTCCCATACACATAAATATCAAAAAGAATCTTTATTCGCCCAAAATTTGTTCCATTTTTCCCCTATCTCTTCCTCACTCTATCTTCCCGCCTGTGACACTTTGCCAATGCCATTTTGCAAAGGAGCAAAATATACTGTGGCGCAAAACGAGGGAAGACAATTTACGAAAATACAAAGTAAATTGAAATTCACCACGTGTGTTAATTGATTTCTTTCTTTCAATATATTATCGCCCCCCAATTTATCTCAGCTCTTCTTCTCTTATCTCAGAAACTCTTAATCTTCTGAGATTTTCTTTTATCAAACGCCTTTCTCTCTCTCGCTTCTATTCCCTTCAGCATCTGAAAGCACATCAAGCTTTTATTTAATTTCTTTTGTAGAATAACTTTTGCATTTTAAATTTTCATGCTCGATGATAAAAGCATTGAAAATCTTCTTTACATAGAAGAAAATTTAGAATATAAATACACAATCAAATGGGCGGAATTTGTGTGTGAAAACTTACTCTTAAATCGAATCGGTACAAATTTTCGTCTCCACGAGAGTCTATTTCTCAAAACGATGAAATCCTATCTAATAAAATACCTCAAAAGTTTCTCCTCAGAATCAATTGCTATAATGTTATTTAAATAGCATTATTTCAGAAGAAAAAAACACAAGAAATTTTCAGAACATCGATAATATATGTTTGTACAAATATGAAGAAGTTATTAAAATGAATTTTATTCATCTAAAAATAACTAATTTTTTTATTGATTTCCCTCTTATTCTGAATTGAAAAGATTCACGAGAGAATCTTCTGCATTTCCGTAAACCAAAACTTTCGAGCTTCACATTTTTACCATCGCTTGTGGAATTGCACTCGTGTGTGAAAAAGATTGTTGCAGAAAACTCCAATATCTCCTTCCTTTATCTCATTTTCCCACCCTCAACATTGAATCATCTAAGTTGTTGGGAAACAAGCTCACAATAATGAAATTTTTCCTAGTGATTCACTCAAAAATATCTCATGGCGGTGAGGATGGAAAAAAGGAACTCCGCGAGAGAAGGAAGGAACATGGGCGAGATTTATGACCCAATGCACGACCATTAGGAGTATAATAATCTCTTATAAATTGTAATTTACGGTGAATTTAAACCAAAATATCGTATCAATTTTTTTTACCAGTCCCAATGAGGGTGCAAAATTTGTGCTGTTAGTGTAAAAAAATGTGAATAGTTTTTTAACTGACAGACTGCATTAATTTTTCACATCATACAATCTTAATTAGACTTTCATATTTTATGAGTAAATATTTCATAGTAATAATAAAATGAAAATGTAAATTTTTGTCCACCAAACTCACTAATTGCACTAAATTGAATTTTCCACACCCATTTTCACAGAATGCTCTGTATAAATATTTAAAATTTAATTACCACCACACATATATTCATGCATAAATGTATCCATAACGCAATCTTTAAACATTTTCCCCGCCATTCTGACTTTTCCGACTCCTCGTCATATGGCATTGTTCAAATTGTTTTAACTAATTAACTAAATACAGTTGCAGAATTTTTCCCCCGCATGGACAAAATAACTGTATGAAATTTAGTGTGTGTTTGTGCATTTACTCACCTCAATGATATTTGTGCGCCCTTGATTGCTCCTGCCCAAGCCTTGTCCCTCCGTCCAGCCCATCTTCTGCAGCAATTTATTACCCACATTGTTCTGTCCGATTGGCACACTGCTGGACGCCGCTGAGGACGGCACAGTCGTGGATTGCTTCTCAATCTCCCGCTGGAATCGCTCCTTGCTGCGATTCGGCGGCGGTGGATCCGGTTCGCCATACTTCAATCTCCTCTCCAACGCCCTGTCACGATACGACTGCCCCGCATTACCTGCGGCATCACCGTCACCACGTGACAAGTTGTATCGTCGCATATTCTCAAGGTGCAGCGTCGACTTCTGCAGGTGCTTCTGCAGAATGTCCGGCGATTGGAATGCCCGCTTGCACAGCAGACAAGTCAATTTTTCAAAGTCCACATAGTCCTTCTCATTGGCCGGCGCAGCGCCATCACCATGACCACCACCACCTTCCTCCTGATCATTCTCCGAATCTGAACCATAGGCCGCCACCAGCTTCCCCGATGCACCATCATTTGTGCCATATTTCAGATTTGTCTTCTCCTTCTTCTCCAATATACTGAATCCCACATCGGCATAGCCACTCTGCGAATTGCTCTTGCCCTGATTGTTGTCCTCCTTCACAGGCATTGGCATCATCATGTTCATGTCCTTCTTCTGATTCAGCTGCTTCGCCCACTTCTCCATATCTTTCACAATCTTCTTCGCCACCTTCACTTTGTCCTGCTTCGCCACTTCTCTGCGCGTCTCACGTCGCCCATCCTCACCCACGGGGAACCGCACATTCTCACCATCACCCTCAGACATCACTTGAGCGGACGCCGCTGATGCCGAAGACGCCTGGGATGCCGCTGCACTCGATGCCAAAACGTACGTGCTCTTGTCATTGTCCCAGTACAAATATGCATTGATCTCACTATTGTAGTAATACTGTGAGTTTGCATCGTAGTACAAACCCGTAGTTGGATCATAGTAGTACCCCGATGTCTCATCATACTGATACTGTGACACATCGGGCGTGGGGTACTTCTTTCCGTCTGTCCCCCTGGGAGTCTGTATTGGTGCTGAATTTGCTGAGTTACTCGATGTATCACCCTTACCATGGTATTTTCCACCTTGTTGAGCAATCTGTTTCCTCTGTATGGCTGACTGGGCCACAGCCGCCCCCGAATTTGCCGTCTCACCCCCCATTTGAGACATTGTGGGCAAATTGCTAAATTGTCCCTTGGATATCTGCCCCATATAGTACTGTGTATAGTATTTCAAGTAGTGCTCATGCTCAACTGAATTTGACGCATACATATTTGCACTGTACTCCGCCAAACGTGGTACATCTGCCATTGTGTACTGATAGTTGTTCCCTTGGTAATTCCCTGGGGAATCACCTGATCCTTGCGATGTCTTCGCATTCAATTGCTGCTGCTTCACCGCACTGGGATTTTCTGGATCCACACAATACGAAATCAACACCTCACGATTGTCTATCTTAAGCGGCACCTCGAGCCCCTTGAGGGCATTGTGGGTGTTCATGGAATCCACCAAATTGTCAAAAGACAGATAGCACACGCCGCGCGATGTTGATGTCAAGGGATCACGACATATGAGAATCTTGGCGATTTTCGATACAAGCGTAGGAACAACTTCCTGCATCATCGTCAATACACCCTCCTCATTTGTCAGCACGTCCAAATTCCTCAGCATGATTTCTGCAAGTATGTAGAATATCCCACTCAGTCAAAATCCATCCATAAATCACACCACAATTTGCCACACACTCGGAGAAATATGTGGCATGTAAACTTTATAGGTATGCACACAGCCTCAATGCCCAACCCAAGGCAAAGGACGAGATAAGCAAACGCCAAGGCTAGCTTAACTCTAAATGTGATCAACCCAATTTTAATATAACAATTTCAAACCGCCATAACTCGAGTTCTATGACATTGACAAAAAATATAACCCCATTTGTGAAACGTCTTTCAAAATAGCTTTACTTTAAAAAAAAATGTTGACTTTAAAATTTTGAAAATATTATCATTGATCAAAATGACCCTCCTTTTAACATATTTCGTCATATTTGGCCTCCCTGATGTTATTTTAGTCGATTTTGCGAGATTCGATTTTCGCGCGTTCGCAGATAGAACGCGCTTCGTCCAGTTCAATGAACAATGTAAAGCTCAATGTTAAGAGATTAGGGGAGACATTAGCCCATTACTAATTCTGTGAATATTTCCTAGGAGTGTATACTCACTTTTTGTCAGGATATTGCTGACTTCATCACTCCCTTCGCCTCCCTTCTCGCTCTCCTCCCGCGAAGCGTAGCACTTGAAGCAGTTGTCGCGTCGCTTGAAATTCAAAACGCCGCACTATAGCAAGAATAAAAGAAGAGAAAAAAAAGAAGCACTTTAGTGCTAATTTCGCCAGAGAGATACTCCTCCACACCCTCAACCCACTCCCTGCCCATCATCTCCCACTTTAATTACTCCCCTATATAAATTTGATGTCTTTTAATCAAATACACCTCCCCCTCCCCGCCATTCTTTCGTCCACTAGCATAAATTTATGTGAATTAATGACCTTAGTTTTAGACTTTTAATATACAAAACTGTGTGTACAGTTTCTCTGCAACATGCACACACAGGACTCATTCTACCCAACGGAGGATAGAAAAAAAGGTATACTAGCATTTCGAGAACACAGGGATAACAATCTTCTACATCTCCAGGCTCATCCATTAAAGTGTAAAAGAGAAAGCGAGTATCCTGTAACATGAAAACCGGTATACACTCACCCAGAGTGTCTGTGAATAAATTTTAAACTGCAACACTGTGTAATTACTTTATATTTGGATTTTCTCCTCTGCATTCTCACCCACTATTTACACTTAAGGGGAATTTATTGCAAAAAACAGGTAAAATTGTCATTTAACTTTTCTCAAATTGCAAAAATTCCTTCACAACAGAGATAAACAACAGAGATAGCATGTTCTATTCCACGGACAGCAAAAAAAATTGTAGCTCTTCTATTCTACCCCACAATTTCCTCCCCAAACATTTCATTTGAATTAATTCAACGAAATTCACACAAGACTGCACTTAAATATTCATAAGATTGAGGATTAACACATCTTAATCCTCGTCTCGCAAAAAAAAAATGCCAGAGGTTTTCCGCTTTTCTCATTATTTCGCGCGGCAAGAAAAACCGGAGAGAACAAAAAAATTATCTACAACACAAACAATGATTAATATTTAATAATGGTTAAGACTGCTTATCTGAAGCAAGTCACATATAATAAAAGTACATTTCCAAATTGAAACCTAAATCAATAGTCTTTAGGCAGTTTGGCTGTATTTCATGACATTTACTTTTGCATCGCACATAAGTATGTTAGGCATATTGAAACATTAATTTTTCTCCTTTGGACGAAAGCGACTTGTCTTTGCTGGGAGAAAAAAATAATTCCAACATGAAGGATCATAAATGAAAATATCCTCCTCTATATAATCCCATTTCTGGCAATGTCAAAGAAGATATTCTTTTTTTTTTCAATATAAAGCTGCCAGCATGAACTAATTACTTGATTGAGTTTAAGGATAGCAGCTCCGCTTATTCAATAAACGAGAAAATTTTATGAGATATTCTTTCATTTCATGTGAAAAGAGCACCAATTTCAATTATGATGGGAAAAAAATCCCTTCTCAGACAATCTCATTGTGACGAAAAAAACATCTCTCTTTCAGTCTGGAGAGATTCTAAAAATACACTTATTCTTGCAGGACACGATTCACCATCGTGATTTGAGAAGAATTTTCGGTAAATGCATGATTTCATGACAACACGGTAATATACCCACCGTTTATATTATATAAAAGTCAACCATATAAAAGGATGTGCACAAAGAAAATTCCATTGAAAGTTGTGTGTATTGTGAAAGAGCTGTCGAGAGGAAGAATATCATTGAAAATTTTTAATATACTCCCTTCTCAAACCAAAACCCACGTCAAGGGATGTTAAATATATGCGGTGCAGGACAATGTCACCACAAAAGATGTGAGTGTAATTTCTCCCATAGCAAATCCAACATTTCCACTGTCATTTTCACATGAGGAAATGTCTAATCGAAAGTGCATCATTCCACTTCTCACCCACAAATCCGCATTCAACATTCTTGATTCTTGAGTTGTGCACACGACATATTAAATGAAATTTATTAGGGCAACTTTAATTTAATTCCATCTATTATTATTATCACTTCCAAAGTACAAATACTTTGGCATGAAAATTCATCTATATTGCAAAAGTTAATTCTAACAAGTGTTTCACTATCCAAAAAGGAGCACAACATATACACATACATAAATCTGAACAAAAGGGCGCTCGGCAAAATAGTTCACTAGCAAAACTCGAAGAAATATCATCTTGCACACCACCCGCAATTCATATGAGAATTAATTAAGATTTTCCGTATTAAACTTGTCGTAAAACAGTATTGTTTCGAAATTTTAATTGTCCCATATCATGTTTCACCTAACTGTTTAGATATACTATTTTCAACTCATGAATGCAACCCAAATTAATTTCTAATGAACTTTATAATAGTTTTATCTCTTCTATGTCTACAACACTTGTCTGCAATCCAACCGACAATGGAAATTTGTGGTAAACAGCTAATTTCACAACATAAAATCATGCAAATGCACTTCCATATTACTGTAGTCATTATCAACTTATGAATTTCCCTTGTCACAAGGCAAAGTCCATTAGAAAATCATGTTAAACATCAATGTATAGAAATCACTAGTGAAACACAAAAATATTCTCTAATTCTCCATAAATCATTGTGATTTTCCGCAAATTGCTAATCAAAAATGATTTAGCTTATATACAGTAACGAAAATGTAATTAAGTTATGGGATTTTTCCTAAAAATAACTTCTTCATTGTGAAAAAGACGATATTTTTTATTAAGTAACACATCAACCCCTAAAATAGAAAATAAAAAGGGGATTATTTTAGAAAAAATCCCATATCTTAATAACTTTTTCGCTACTGTATTTTTGAATGGAGTAATTAATGAGAATTGATGGAATGCGATAGTGCTGAATTTCAATTTGATTCATTTCTCAAGGCATATTGTTGTTGCCTATTATCAATTCAATTGACTGAAGACACTAAAACTACATTTATTAAACTTTCAATATCAAATTGCATACACAATGGATTTGTTGAATAGTTTCTATACCAGACAAATTTTATTCCCTCTGCTCTTTCTCTCTCTCTCGAAATTCACCTCTCTCTTTGTTGCTGAGCAAATATTTTCACAAAATATCACAGAAGAAAAGGAGATTTTTCACTCTTGCAAAAGATATCGCAAAATTAATGAAAATCGTGCATGTGTAGCTAAGTGAACTTGTTATCTTGTAGAAAAACTTTTTCTCTACATGACATAAAACAGTACAAAAGAAACAATGACACGATGCCAAAGGAGAGTGAAGGATTTTTCAACATCAGTAAATGAAAAATTAATAATGTCTGTGGATGAGATTTTAACGAGTTCCCACTTTGCCATACTTTCAGTTAAGGGAATAATATTTCTCTCTTCAATACACCCAAACTCACACTTGCATCATCTTGGCTGAGGATAAAATAGCCAACTTAACCCTCTTGAGAGAGGGAGAGTATATATTTTTAAAACTATATTCCTTCAGAAAATAAATTAAGATATATTACTCACCTTGGCACAATACCAATCCGTAACATATTTATCCTTCGTCACGCTGGGAGGCTCCTTCGTGATACTGTATTGCATAATAGCACGATATTGATCCTGGAGCATAAGAATGCCCTGAAAGGAGACACAGAGGAGAAAAAGGAACAGATTAATATCAATTAATTGGAAAATAACTATCAGATTCCCCTCATTTTTCTTTATCTCTCGCTTTATATCACTCTTTCTTCTTTTTTTGGCCTTTGAAAGGTGCAAAGTTTCATTCCTAGCCAATTCCACGAGGAATTGCAATAAGATGAAACTTTGTGTATGATGAAAATTTTTGTCTTTGAAAAGAGCTTCGACTGTCCTTACAGATCATCTTTCTCACTCTCTTTCTCTCTCTCAGATTCGCTCTCTCAATTAAATCTCACAAATGAATTTTATTTTGATTGAATAAAAAGGTGATTTTTCTTCATATGAAACAGATTAAGTTGCAAAAATATAACTGAAAGATAACTTAATAGCCAGTCACCAATAATTTTTTCAGTGAATTTTATCTGTCTAAGAAAATTTCTTTCGAAATATTCATGTCAAAAATGAATCTTGAAAAAATAAAACCAGTTGAAAAGTAAAAAAAAAATATATAGCAAATACTTGGGATTCGTTCAAGAGAAGGCTTTTGTATCAACATCTTCAGTTCAGGGTATGTTTTCCCGCGTTCGATTTCCCCCTATCAATTGGCCCTAAAGCAATGTTTTCGTTTATCTTTCACACATTCATTGAATTATGGGATATCATTTTTTCTTGCATTCACTCCCTCTCATTTTTTTACACTCCTTCTCTCGCGCGTGTGTGTGCGTGTGTTTAGACACACACACCCACTCGAAAATCACATCTGTAGGCAATCGCATGAAGGACGAGTTGTTTGATTTTTATCCTGTACAGCAAAGCATGACAACTCCGAAAGAGACGACTTCAGTCATTGAGAATTCTCTGGACGATCTGCCCCAACGTCTTTCTCTCTTTCTGTTCTTTTTTTTTGGCTGTTTCTTGTGTGATACAATGATACCTGCTTATATTCCATCCAACGTGTTGCCTCCTGTTCAGTATTAAACTCGACAAATGCGAATCCTCGTGACGCACCTAGAGTATACAAGAAATAGAGCAAAACACAGATATTTTTAACGTACATTCTCATTGTCAACAAAATGTGTGAGTGTCATGTGTGGTTTTCTCCTATCATTTCTCTTCTTTCGCAAAATGCAAATCACTAAAGTTTCTCCTTTCTTTCCTTCTGTCTTCTCATTTTACCATGATAAAAAGAAACACTTTAGATTTCTCAATGGGAAACTTTCCATATTATTCATTCTTCTTTCTCTCCCATCCAGTGTTTCATAGCTTTGACGTGATTTTTGTCTCTCCATCGCGCGCTTTTCACTGCACTCCAACATAACATTCCGCACTCACTTCTCCCTTAACGCATTTTGTGAGAAGGAAACCTCGTGCAATACTTACGTGCGAATGCTGAGTGGCAAGAGGAACTCGTTCCAATCGTAGTTTCTCCTGACACTCAAACACCCCAATTTTTTTCTTTATACATATTTCTCTATTCGTAATACATATAAATTCCCGATAGAATCCCAAATTGCACATGTTTTTACCTGTCTTCTTTCTCCGTATCAAACGAATGGACACAGGTTTCAAGCCGTACTGCATCAAATCGCTGCTAATCTGCAATGAGAGAGGAAAAACCATTACATATAATCACAGACATAGACTTCACATCAGAGACCAAAGCAAAGCGTCATTCCATTGACTATCATCATTTTCAGTTTGAAGGAAGCTAATTGAGTGAATGAGTAATTAATTGCAAAAGCCAACATTGTTGCCAATGTTGATGTCACAGTGAACAAGCATGAACACTCAATCATCATTTTGGTTGAAGTGTGAAAACATGTTAGTACTTTCTGTGCATCAAAAAACAACAATTCACACACACACAATGGCATTGATAATGATGGGGAAAAATTATTTTTGTATTTTTTTTGTTCAATTCCATTACCAAAAATTTAATTGCATACTAAATTTTCGAATGATTTATTCGATGTGCTTCGTATTTTTCACTGCAAAAATCATGACCCAAAAACTAATATGAAAAATCAACCCAGATACATGATGAAAAGTTATATTTTCAGCCTCTGGTCAACACATTGTTTTGGCAATTTTGTAAATATATATTTATGTAATTTGCTGACAAGTTATATATGAAACATAATTTTCTCTGATCATATTAAAGTCTCTTTGAAATTTACAACCAAAATTATATGTTTGTGACACAAATAACTAAACAATTTGCCATACGTTGTAAATTTCCCCTTTTTGAGCATAAATTTTGAACTAAACATTCTCTCTCTCTTTCCGTCATTCTCTCTATACGGAATAAATATTTGTATAAATTAAAATTTCTCAACTGCACACACATTCTCATTTGCATGTCACCATCATCATAATCCCCCATGGGAGCGCTCTTGTATGCATCTTCAAAGGGACAGAAAATTACTCGCAGTTAATGCTATTAACAGTCACAATGTATGTAGTTGCAACAATCCCAGTGGACATTTACCAATAGAATTGCGCCCAGGAAAAACTTTCAGATCCGCAGCAAGAGACACACTCTGTTCCTCATGAGAGTTTAACTTCAATTCCAGATGCACCCAACACAACACTGTGTGTTCATGTGGTGATTTAAGCGCCACCAAACAATATTGTTAGTACACCAAGTTTTATATAGAAAACCCTCATCCCCATGTTGCCATTCATAAAAGTATGTTGTTTTTAAATTAAAGTGTGTCACAAACATGCAAAACCAACTTCACCCTTTTGAAACATTTTTCACCAGCAAACCACGAGGAATGCTATGCTGCTTTTTAATTACAATATATGGGAAAAAAAACATATTGATATAGATTGAGAGGAAAATAGAAACAGAAAAATAGAAAATTTCCCTTCAATACGACTATTTGTGGTAGTGTGTTTCACAGCGGATTCTACAGAAAATGAAGAATATACATTAAATAATGGGTCGTTGCAACTCACAGAACTCATATTTCAATTCGTAAAAGCTATGAAAATTGGCATGCATTTTTATGCTTTTCACAGCTTAGGAATAGAATATAGCTGAATAAAATCGGAAGAAAATGCTGTACATAACAATTTTTACAAGTGTACCTCTATTGTATTAACTTTCTATTGCACAAACAAAAGATTGAGACGCTAAGATAAGATTTTGTATGCACTAAAGCCCCACATATAGATGGCATTGTTCACAGCATTTTCAACTACAAAACTTCCACAAGCGTTTATCAGAGGATAAAACATATGTACGATGAAACTTGTATTTACTAATTTCACTTTCTTAATTAACTTTTAGAGTTGATGCATAGGAAATGCAAATTAGCAAAGAATATTAAATTATCGCACTTCGCTATATTGGGCAAACTCATGAATATACCAAATTATTGCACTCTAATTAACATTTCAAGAGTAAATTCGCCAATTCAAATCTCACCCTTTACCTCTATTTGTGGTAAAATAATGCACACACAAGAGGAATATTGAGTAATTGAAGATATTCGGAATAAAAACATTGCTTCGTCGCAATTAGTTGCATGCAACTAATTTCAACTCACACCCAGAAACCCGTATAGTCAATAAAACGGATACTCACATCCGCTTCCGTGATGTGCTGAGCCAATCCTCTCACGATTATTTTATTGTACGGTATTTGCGTGGTGTATCGCTCGCCAGTGTCACTGAAAAGGGGGCAAAAGGCAGGCCATCAGCACAAAATCTCTCACTTTTCCGCAGGACTAAATTCACCTGTCGTGACTGTCGTACTCATCGTCGAAATTGGGCGAATAGCTGCGACGCCTTGATCTGCCATCCCTGTCCCTAAAATCACGGATTATTCAGGAATGCGTGAGTAAATATTATTGGGATCTGAGTTGTGTCGTGGGAACCTTCGATCTCTCTCACGGTGGCCATAGTATCCCTTATCGCGCTCCCCATGATAGTCCTCCTGGTCGGGATTGTAGGCGTCCCTGTCGCTGCTCCGGCGCTTGTCGTAGTGTGACCGCGGGCTGCGGCTACGCGATCTGCTGCGACGAGACCGTCCATAGCGCTCCCTGAAACGAACGCCCACAAATTAATGACTATATTTGCGGATGGCAGAGTAAAAATAGAATGAAAGTACCTAGAGCGGCTTCGGCGTCTTCTTCCGTAGTCCCTATCGCTACGCTTCTCCTTATAGCGATACCCACCGTCCGGGCTAAGACTCGGCGATCCTAGTGAATCCATTACACAGAATTATTACTCTCAGGAGCGACAATACCAATGAATTTTTCATGTGAGACAAAAAGCATTCGTCAACATGGCGCTTACGTCGATTCATATCGTCCCAACTTTACCACACGAAAAATCACCCCCAAACCAAGTTATATCACTAAAACTCCAATGTCCCCACAATCTTCAACAATCCCTGCGAGTTTTTACACAATTTCCTCTAAAATAAGTGTGAGTATTGTACTGTGAAGTACTGTGAAAAATATAAGAAACACGAACACTCTTGTTTTATTCACAGATGCCCATCACTTGACAACTCATCATGCAGTCACGCCACTTGCGGAGAATAGTGCAAGTTCGTGCGAAACGCGAAGTCGCGAAGATTGATTTGCAAGCAACTTCACGCCGCACAATCATTCGAGGTCCTCTTTTCGCGGTGTGACGACGAAGTGTTTCTTCAGCTTTAGAAAAGATCAATTTTAGTGAATTTTCCCAGTGTTAATTTTCACTTTCTTTAACGCAAACGGTAAGTGCGATACCCATTTGTAGTGGAGTACATGTAGTGTGAGAGAAATAGCGTGAAAATCCGCTGAAAATTGCTAACAAAAAATGCCGGGCGAACCACGCGCTATTTCACCATGATGCAATTCTTTTTTTTTTATCCATTTATCACAGCTTTTCCCTTTGCTTTTCTCTCAATTTCCTACATAAATCATATTATTTAAGTCCCTCTCATGGTTTTATCTCAAAAAGTATTGCGAGAAAAGTCGTATCGAAGAATTGATGATAAGAAATTGCTGATCTTGCATATTGCGAATTGATTCACGTGAGCATCGTGTCCAAACGACGCCATGTCCGGAAAACAAAATGCGTGATCATCAAAAAGAGTTTTGCACAGATATTATCGCATAAATAAGTGGAGTAATAAGCTAAAATAGTGTGTCACAGCTTCGTAGGGCTTTCATTGCCAATATTTCTGTTCTATTGATAGGAGAAAAGTGGTTTTCTTCTGCACACTTCTGAATCGCATTTGCTCGCACTTGATCGCAGCGAAAAGCGTCTTGTTTGTAATTGATCAACTCATCTAGAAAAAGAAGTAATTTTATGGTTCCTAAAAAGGGCGCTCAGATATTTATTTGACCTGAACACACATCTGGAAGCTCTTGAGTGTTTTGAGTTCGCATATAATATAACCCAAACACAAGCGTGTCAAATAGATCCAAATATGCAGTGAACCGTAGTGTGAAGGCCAATAGCAGATGCATTCTCTTCTTATCTCGGGATGCAGTCTATTCCCGGTGCGAAAAGAGTGACTGACGCCCTCGCCAACGTCAGAAGGGGAAGGGAAAGGAGAACGAAAAAATCTTTTGTACACAATTTGAGAGAAAAGTTGCCTTCTATTTGCTTTTTCTATTTATTGTATACAATTTTAATTTTGATATCAATGCGCGAGAGATTTATTCAATTTTTTCCCTTTTTATTATTATTACTATTTGTTTTGTTTGTCAATAATTCCAAATCTATTTATTTTATTGGTATTTATTGAAATTTTTGACTGAAATATGTCAGAGTTAATAGAAAAACAGAAAATATAACTTTCCAAAGTCGATTTTAAATAGTCTCTGAGTGCATTTTATCATCCAAACAATTTCTAAAAAAATCAACTTTTCGTACTTTATATGCTATATATGATAAAGAGCGTTTCAAAAATACGTAAAACGCAAACTATGAAAAATCCACTGCATAGTTTTCGATTCACCCGTCGATTTAGTAGATCACAAAAACGTATATCAAATAATTTCGCTTCATAATCCCACTGACTATCAGAGAAGAGAATAATCTTCATTAAAAAATAGAAATTCCTTTCTTTGTACAAAAACAAAATTTCTATTAAATGACTAACACGGAAAGCCTATCGGTTGATACATTCAAAATCATATATTCGGAGTTGTGCTTTTGAATTCGCCTCTCCAAAATTGCCAACACTGCCGAGCATGCCGGTCTTTTGACATTGGACGACAGTCCAGAAATGCGTACTTTTCTAGTGTGATGAACAAAAAACAGTAATAATTTATTCTTAAACTAATTAATTTTTCAAATGTACTTCACAGAGTGGAAACATGGGCGACGAATGGGATGATGATGATGTAAGTTGTGGAAATTTTCAAGTACTATCTCAAGTATTTCATCACTAATCTCCCATTGCATTTGTGCAGAATACCGCTGTGTGTCTCGACTCGGCGAGGGCCAAATCATATAAGCAACATGACAATGGCTACGGCTTTGAGACGAAGCAGAATAACGGCGATTTTGGACGTGACAATGGCTACGGAGGTGGAAGAGAAGGTAATTTTGGAGGCGGCGGAGCTCGTGCCTCACGTCCGGGAGATTGGAATTGCTCAGGATGCGGAAAGAACAATTTTGCATCGCGCAACGAGTGCTTCTCTTGCCATCAGGAGAAGGACGAATCTGGCGAGGGAGCGCGACGGGGGGGAGGATTTGGTGGCACTAATGAAGAAAGGCCACGAGCCGGCCAGAGGCCTGGCGATTGGAACTGTTCAGGATGCGGAAAGAGCAACTTTGCATCGCGCAACGAGTGCTTCTCTTGCCATCAGGAGAAGGACGAGTCCTGCGTCGTCAGCAGTGGCGAAGGAGGACGACGACGCGGTGGCTTTGGCTGCAATGAAGGGGGGGAGAAGCCACGAGCCGGCCAGAGGCCTGGCGACTGGACCTGTCCGTCGTGCAGCAAGTTGAACTTTGCCTCGAGGACTGCGTGTTTCGACTGTAATGAAGAGAAACCAGCTGGCTTGATGACTGATGCAATGGTCAATGAGAAGCCAAAAGAGTTCTACATTCCTCCGGATCTGCCCACGGATGAGAATGAGATTTTCAATGCTAAGATTGATCAGGGAATCAACTTCAACAACTTCTCGAAGATTCCCGTGAAGGTGACCGGTGAGAATATTCCGCCGGCAATTCGTGACTTCCACTCGTCGGGTCTGCGTGAGTTTCTGCTGACGAATGTGGAGAAATCGGGCTACACGACTCCGACGCCCATTCAGAAGCATTCAATTCCCATCATCATGGCGGGAAGGGACTTGATGGGATGCGCTCAGACGGGATCGGGCAAAACGGCTGCCTTCCTTCTGCCCATTATCAATACTTTACTCACGGACAATCGTGATGTGACGATGGGACAGCCTCATGTGCTAATTATCACGCCCACCAGGGAGTTGTGCATACAGATTTGCGAACAGGCTCACAAGTTCGCCCACAAGTCATACATTCGCGTCCAGAAGATTTACGGTGGCACCGCGACGCGCCATCAAGGAGATTTGCTGAAGAATGGCGTGCACATTCTCGTGGCCACGCCTGGACGATTGCTGGACTTTGTCAAGAGGAGCTACATCTCCTTCCAGGACATTCGCTTTCTCGTGTTGGACGAGGCTGATCGAATGCTGGACATGGGCTTCATTGGTGACATTGAGAATGTGATGACAGGAATGCCGACGGAGAGACAAACGCTGATGTTTTCGGCTACATTCCCGGAAGAGATTCAGCATCTGGCCGGGAAATATCTCACCAATTATGCCTTTGTGACTGTGGGTATTGTTGGTGGCGCGTGCACTGATGTGGAGCAGAATTTTATTGAGGTGTCCGGAAGGAAGAAGCGCGATCAATTGCTGGTATGTTTGAGACGAATTGAATACGAAAGACTTTGTCTAATCACTATTTTTCTGTCTTTTATCAGGCAATTCTCAACAACTGCGGCAGCGAGGGACCGAAGGGTGTTCTCGTGTTTCTGGAGACGAAGAAAAGTGCTGACTTCTTGGCTTCTTATCTGTCTGAGACACAATTCCCGACTACATCAATACACAGTGATCGTCTGCAGAAGGAGCGCGAAATGGCGCTGAATGATTTCAAGTGTGGTCGCATGGCCATCATGATTGCCACATCTGTTGCTGCCCGTGGTCTGGACATTCCTCATGTGCAGCACGTGATTAACTTTGATCTGCCGAAGAGCATTGATGAGTACGTGCACAGGATTGGACGCACAGGACGCTTGGGAAATGCTGGCAAGGCCACCAGTTTTTTCGACGTCGAAAAAGATGCTGATATTGGAGGGAAATTGGTGGGCATCCTGAGGCAAGCCAACCAGCCGGTGCCTGACTTCCTCGAGCAGTATGATCACGGAGCGTTCTCAGGCCAGGAAACGTTCGGCGGGCGAGATGTTCGCAAGGTGAGTCATTAAATGAGTGAATGTGTGAATGCAAGTGTTCCTAATTGTTCTTTTCTCTTTCAGAATAATGGCACCCAGAGACCTCAGGCCGTGGCCGCTCTTGTTGAGGATGAGCTCTGGTAGACGGCGATTTACATCATAATTCAAGAAGTTCGATTCCATTATTCTACTATACAAACTTAACATTGAATTATTTTTTCTAACAATCTCTACTTTCATATTTTAACAACGCTGACTTAATCGTCAGTAGAATTTTGTGATTTCTTATAGGATAATATTGAATTGACTTCTTCCTTTAAGAAAACTCGTGATCTGATAGCTACACATGGAGTAATTGCAATCAGGAAAATCAGTGAAATTAGTATTAAATATGAATTCTTTATGACTCTCATGCGTTTGTTTCGCGAAAACTTCCTTCCGGTGTTCTCCTCGAGGTGTCCTCGTGAGCGCGCTGTCAATTTTCGCGAGATTTTCCATCTGGCAAGGCCGCAGAGTTTAACTACTAATCATGGCTTATACAGCTGAAAGAAGGTAATTTTGTCAGTTTTTTCAGCCATCGGCAATGCTTGAGCGCCTCAAGAGTGTTCTCACCCGTGCACAAGAGGTTTCCTGAACGAGTTGCGGTGTTTTCCGGCGCGCGGGCTTTGGCGGTGGCTGGGAAAAGCCGTATGTTTGGTGTGGTGAAAATATGCGCGATTCGGGCGCCCCTGGTGACTGCTGTGGTCATGTGAATGGCCGGTGTGAAAATGCATTGCCCATATTTGCCGCCCCCGCGCGATGCACTGCCGAACTGGCAGTGTAAGGAGCGTGAGTGAGATGGCTAATGAGAGCGCTTCTGTTGCAGGAATGAGGATGGCAAGAACGGACCGCCGGCTGAGTATGACGGACCCACGGGAATGGACCCGGACGGCGTGATTGACAGCAATTGGAACGAGGTATGACGAGTGCTCCCAAGCCGGGAAGATTTCTCACTCTTGCACTTCACTCTCTTCCAGGTTGTGGACAACTTCGACGACATGAACTTGAAGGAGGAACTCCTGCGCGGAATCTACAGTTATGGCTTTGAGAAACCATCGGCAATCCAGCAGCGCGCCATCATGCCGTGCGTGAAGGGACACGACGTGATCGCCCAGGCGCAGTCTGGTGAGTGTGGTATTTTTGAGAAACTGTTGCACATTATTTGAGGTAATGAGCGCGTCCTGCCTTGTCCTGCGCCCTCCTCACTTACGCAGCTCGTCAGCAACGTCCTCACATCGTTTGTTTCTTGTCCTGGCCCAATTGCACAGAGCAATCCTACTACTTTTGATGTCTTTGATATTGCTCAAGCCATTGTCTTGGGCGTTGTCTAAAAATGTTCTCCCAGAACAGAGCTTAACAGATAGATTCGGATGCTGAAACGCCCTTTTCAGGCGTTCATTTATGTTTGATTGACTTTTAAGAGACGATACAAAGTCGAGTTACTCTTCTAAAATCATTTGCTATATACTTGTGTTTCTTATATTGTTGCAGGAACTGGAAAGACGGCAACATTCTCCATTGCAATTCTACAGCAGATAAACACGCAGAACCGCGAATGCCAGGCATTAATTTTGGCGCCCACGCGCGAGCTGGCATCGCAGATCCAGAAAGTGGTAATCGCCCTCGGGGATTACATGCAGGCGCAGTGCCACGCGTGCATCGGCGGGACGAATGTGCGCGAGGACATGAGGAAGCTGGACAGCGGATCGCATGTGGTGGTGGGAACGCCTGGGCGTGTATTTGACATGATCTCGCGCCAGGTGTTGCGCACGAAGTCGATCAAGCTGTTCGTGCTGGACGAGGCGGACGAGATGCTGTCGCGCGGGTTCAAGGATCAGATTCAGGATGTGTTCCGCACACTGCCGAATGACGTTCAGGTGATCCTGCTGTCCGCCACGATGCCCAATGACGTGCTGGAGGTGAGCAAGTACTTCATGCGCGAGCCGGTGAGGATTCTGGTGAAGAAGGAGGAGCTGACGCTGGAGGGCATCAAGCAGTTCTACGTGTATGTGCAGCACGAGGAGTGGAAGCTGGGCACGCTGTGCGACCTGTACAACACTCTCTCCATCACACAGTCCGTCATCTTCTGCAACACGCGACGCAAGGTGGACTATCTGACTGAGGAGATGACCAAGAAGACGTTCACCGTGTCGGCGATGCACGGCGACATGGATCAGCGCGAGCGTGAGCTGATCATGAAGCAGTTCAGGACTGGGTCGTCGCGCGTCCTCATCACCACGGATCTGCTGTCGCGGGGCATCGATGTGCAGCAGGTGTCATTAGTTATCAATTATGATTTGCCATCCAATCGTGAAAATTACATTCATCGGTGAGATGAGAATTTTCCCGCCAAGCATCTGTGCACAGCGTGATTTTCATTGATTGTCTCTCTTTGCAGAATTGGACGCAGCGGTCGTTTTGGGCGCAAAGGTGTGGCAATTAATTTCATTGTTGAAGAGGACAAGCGAACTCTTCGCGACATCGAACAATTCTACAACACAACCATTGAGGAAATGCCATCAAATGTGGCAGATTTGATCTAATCTCGCTATCCTTTCATCTAATTTCATCACCCACACTTTTTTTGTCTTATCGAGAATGAATGAAGAAGAAATAATACTATAACTTCTGAACGCATCCCAGGTAATGCAGAAAGAATTTAATGATACGTAAATTTGAAGGCTTATTTTTTGGTAGAATTTTCTTTGCCAACAGAATAATGCGACAGAGCTGCAAATTAATGATTTTCACAATGAAATATTTCATGTTGTGGAGAGAAGAGAAAGAGAGAGAGAGAAGTTTGTTTTCTGTATTTGATTTGTTTGTTCTATAATATTGAGAGTCACGGAGAAGTAATGCAATTTTAATCATGATTTTAATTGTGTTTTCTGACATGTCTTTTTTATCGATAAAAAAGAAAGAGAGACCTAAATAGAATTTGAGGATTAAAGCAAAGAGAAATATAACATTGTATCTTGCACTCAAGAAACTATTACCAAGAGAGTATGGAATTTAATTTAATAATGAACAAAATGATTATAATGGAAGTGAATTTCTTTTGTATTCCAAATAAGATTGTAAGCGAAATTTGATGTAGATTCTATTATAATTAAAAGAAGCAGAATATCTTTTAAAAACTAATCTTGAGGGCATTAAACATTTTGAGATTTCATGTGAAAACGCCTTTTTTGTGCCTTTTTGCTCTTCCTGAAAACTGAATTTGATTCATACATGATTTCATGCAATTTCATGGAGATAAATCGCGCAGGTGTGTTTCCTATTGGCCGTCAGTTAGCGCCTCAGCGGTGCTTCCGGCGGGTGACGCGCGAAGCTCCACTTCGGGCATGTTCGGTGTATCACGGTTTCTGTTATACTTGTCATCGCGACCGCGATGTCATTCCGATCGTCGCCGAGTGTCCAAGCCTGCCGCGTTGAGTTAATTTCTTCTCAGTGTAATTTTTCCACTGCGAACAGTGCCATTTAAGCAATTTCCACAGCAGCGAACGCGAGAGCGGGCGGAGTAGAAGAGTAAAAAAAGAGCCACCACAGGAGGGAAAGTTCGAGAGACGGCGAGGAAAAGGGTCGCGCTAATTCTCTGTTCGAAATTTGCAGTTGTGTGAATTTTTCGGGTGTTGCGCAGAACGACACACTTGGATTTCAGTTGTTTTTTCCGTTTCCCCCCATTCACACACACATTGCGTATTTTTTCCCGTTCTCCCGAACGCGAAAAAGGCGGCCCCCGCGAGTGAGAAATCGCGCTCCATCCCAGCAAATCCAGTGCTCTTGTGTGATTCACCAGCCATTTGGGGCGCTCTTCGGCACACGGAACAGACGGAACACGCTACTAAATCACAATGAGCTGGCAGGATTATGTTGACAACCAGCTTCTGGCTTCCCGGTGCGTTTCCAAAGCGGCCATTGCTGGTCACGACGGTGGCGTTTGGGCCAAATCCGACGCATTTGAGGTAATTGCAGTCCCTCTAACTCACCCACTATGCCCCCAATGCAGCCCCCATGAGCCCCCCGGGGGCCCCTCTGCCTTGCTTCACACCTTGCGGCCTGGCTTCGTCGCAGAGGTGCTCCCGTGTGTAGTGTGTGAAAATGTGCACTTTCCGGCACAAGTTCAAGGGTGTGACCTGTCTGTTGGCGCTCTTAGCCGGCTTCGCACGCCACAGGCGCACCCCAGTGCCACTCACCGGCATCCTCAGCCGCCAAATCAGCGCGAACGGCGGCTTGGCGATGCCAGGTGACCCGCGACTGTCCAAAATGTGGCCCATCAGGCGACCTTTGTGCAGACGTCTGGATCACTTTTCGCCCCATGTGGCGCTCCCAGACGCCCCAGCGCCCCGCCAAGCGCCGGGGCCGTGGCCGAGCGAGCAGTGTGCACATCCGGATAATGCGTCAGAAGTGGCAGTGAGTGATAATTCTGGGAGTTTTGCTCAAGTCATCACCGGCGAATGTCAAAATGGCTGCCATTTTGACAAAAAACGAGAATTTGTGCAAATCACATCCACGTTTGCCTGTCCGGAAAGGCATTGGCGCTTCTTCAGTTCGCCCAGACTGACTTCCATGCATCCCGATGGGATCCCAAGAGACCCCCTCCGCGGCCTGGTGGACGGGAAAGTATGCTAACAAGAAGAGATACGTGACGAAAAGCCCCCCGGAATGAGTCATATTTCGTTTCTCTCTCCCAAGAAGTTGAGCGACGACAAAGTCAGAAGCTTCGCGAGACGCCAGAAGAGAGTCGGATTGAATCTCTTTGAGATGTGATATCCAATTGGTAAAAGTGTACATGCGGGGAAATTTGCAAGTTGCTTAAGCAATAACTGTTCTTATTTGGTTCAGTTAGCGTGAAATTACCAACTATTAGCCATTTGAGAGATGTTGTATTTACAACCACTCAACAATATTGTAATACAGGAGAGATGATGATATTCTCTCTCTGCCTACGGCGAGATGTTATTGTCTTATCAGGCCACTGGGCGAGAAGCTCACAGGCTCGCCACGCCGGATAAGGTATCACTTGAGCAAGACTCCCGTGCAAATTTGTCACCGCTGCCCATTTCTCCTGCGGAGCGACACGTCACCAAGAGAATGGAATATTAAGTGATTTTAACCCTTCACTGCGCCCGTTGCCACTGCAAACTGCTCGATTGTTTCTAGGCAAAATTACTGCACACTACTTTCTTTGGTGTTTTGTTCCAATAAGAATTGAGAAATATTTTAGAATGTCAATATTTACTATCATTGAAGCTTCAATTTCTATCCGGGTTAAGAAAGTGGGCGTGGCATTTAACTGGGCGGAGCGTTTGGCGAGCTTCTCATTAAAATAATTTGCAAATTGGACAAATCGATTAATTCTTGCTTGTTTGATAGGACAAAACTTCAGAGTTTCAAGATATTGTATTCTTCAGATTGCTAATGATACCCTATAGTGTGCAAGCACCTTAAAATAGTCCAATACGTGAAATTTAATAATGTTCATTCGCCCTCGATAGCAAAACAGGCATTTTTCTCGTAATGTTCTGTTTTGCAGACACATTAAATGTGTCTTTATTGATAAAGTAAGCCAATTGATTTTGCCATTTGTGTCACCCTGCATTGGAGTAATGGCAAAATGTTTACAAAATAAAACCAGATGAATTGCCACAAAGTGTATAGAACGTTTTTTCACAAGTATTTGTCTGTAATTTATGATTGTGTGTTGCAAATTACTTGGAATTTATGACGCTTGACATAGTCTATTTTTATGTAAAATCGCAAGTTTCATTGGGACACACGGGAGAATGTGTGACTTTGTTAGTGTTGATGCATTGAAGGGTTAAGGAAAGGAGTTATAAAATTGTACTTATGGTGTCTTTATCACTCAAGTTCACACGATTAATCACACGAGAGTGTGAGTGTGTGAGATGATGAGAAAATGCCCGATGTGTAATATGGCTAAGCAGTGAAGAGACGGAGAGAACCTTGGCAACAGATTTCTTTTTGAGGAGGGAAAATGTTGATTCATCGCACAATTCTCGTGGGCCATCACAAATAGAGAGAGAGACATATTTTGGGCCGATGAGTGTGATATTTAAATATAGGACAGAGAGTTGGAGTGAGAGTGGAGAGGATTAATTTTGCAGATGAGTACAATGTCCTATTTAATTGTCAATTTTCATTCATACATTCCGTCTGCGGACGCATGACTCATGCTAATGCCGGCGACGATATTGCATTTGAGGTTTCTTTTTATCCTTCATCGTGGCGACCATTTGTGTGTGTTTACCGGAGGCCAAAGAGGGAGGGAGAGAAAGAGTGGGCACGTGTCTGATTTGTGTGCAATGAGCGTGTGCATTGTGTGAGAGGAGAAATACAAGAAGTACAGAGAGTAAAATGCGTGCAATTGAGGTGTGGGTTTCAGTGAGCCAAAGCCGGACAATATTATTGATTTCTTATATTGCAATTTCCTCATTTTGTCATCTCAGTGTGTCTCTTGTTCGCCTTAAGCAGAGAAGAGCGACAAACACACACACTTCCTGTTAGATACGCTTAATACAATCTGAAAACTGATTATTGTTCAATTTAAATTGCAAATTACCTAATTATTCTATACCCTCAAAGTATTGTTGATGGCAAAATGAAATTATAATCATAAATTCCATGTGATTCGTCTTTCGCACAAGATGTTAATAAAAGCGGAGGGAATACTAAAGAGTAGCTTAGATGTTTTTTGTGTTCGGTTGTGGGTTTTAGAAATGACAGAGAAAAAAAAAGACTGTGGAAGCCAAAGTTTCTCTGCCACGCATCCAAAAGACCAATTTTCGTTAAATGAAATGAATTAAAAATTAGGAGAGAAATTAGTTGTGTTTTTTTTTCTTTCTTCAAAAATGATATCCAAACGTTTAGCCGCTGTTGTTTCGTTGCCAAAAACCATTGATTAATGAGTGAAATGAATATAATATATTGTATATAAATGACTGAGCAGCGAGAGAGACATCGAAAGCCAGAGATATGAAATTGATGTGAAAGTAAATAATAATAAAATAGAGGTCATGATTTTTGTGGAATATCATTTCACTAAGATATTGTGGAGTTCAATTAAAATCAGCGGCAAAAGTAGTAATATTTACACAGTTCGAATGTGTGGATACTTTTTTTTCTTAAGGGTACAGCAAAATATATTCAATTCAATATTCCTATGACTATAAAATTTCAATGTTTGTATAGATGTCTCAAGGAAAGTGCAATGCGCGTACTTGTGACATTTGTCAATGTGTCAGAGAGTCGTAACTTTTTTTTATGACACGCATTTTATTCCTATGCTTGGCTGTTTTTTTTAGACTTGTATTGACATTTTGTTCTATATATTGTCGCATAAAAAACTTGTATATTCCAATAATTGCGATGTCAAAAATTGACTTCAACTAGAAATGACGGGTTTTTCAAATCAATCGATGGCCTCAGAAATGGGAATAAACGCTAGACAAAAAAAAACTTCCATGCTTGAGAAACATCATAAAACTCGAGGCTTCTTCATGTATTTCTTTTTTTTTTTCGAGGTGGGTTAAGTGCCTGACTAAGAAAAAAATCGACCCCTCCCAATTTGATTATTGCATATCACATTTTTGTGGATCAATGAGACTTAACAGCGTTGCGTTATCATGTATGTTCCTCTCTCGTCAGCGTTTCTGTGTGTGTTTATCGTATTTGCGATAAGTATATTTTTAGTAGTTAATTCACTTTATGTGAAATAATGCAGCTTATGTAAGGATTTTTTTCTCCTCTGCGCACGAAAACAACACACGATATTTTTGGTGAACACGACTAATCAGGTGGAAAATTACTCAAATACTCACTGTTTTTTTCCCCTTTCTTTCCAATGTGTAGCAATATTACGAAAGAAGTGCTCATTAAATGTGCCATCTTCATTTTCTTTTCTGTGACGTGTGTGTGTATGTTAATATGTTTGCGAAGGAAAAGAAAATGTTGTGTGACACCGTTTTTAAGTGGTTAAAGAAGAAGTTATAAAGGAGAAGAGGAAGGAAAAAGAAGTAGCAAATTATAAAACTTTCCATGAAAGAGAAATAAGACAAGGTTGTGCACAATGTCGTTCTCTTTCTGTCGTCGTCGTGTTCGATTGCTTTTCACAAAATGATGAACTTGAAAGTTAATCTGTGTTGATTTTAATTGTTGGAAAGAAAGAAGAAAAAAAGATGACTTGAGCGAGCTTTCCAATATTTTAGAGTAAATTTGTCCACTGTGAACAATGAGCAGTTATCGGGCTATTTATATACATATGATGTGGAGAGGATTCTCTTGTAAAATGATGCAAGTTTTCGCGCTGTGAATGAGAAGTTTTGAAACTTTTCATAAATGTCTTACTTTGTTCTGTCTGTATTTATAGCCTGTGATGTGATTTTGATGCTAATGTGTGTGAAAGAGAGACAGAAAGAGATAGAGAAGAAACTGATAGGCAAAAAAGGTGGCAGACAAGTTGATGATATTGAGGGTATCTTGAGGCATTTCTTCTTCGGAAAAAAATGCTCTGTTTTTTTCACACACATTTCTTATATTTATAATAATATTGTATAAATATAAATTGGGCGAGAAATGTGGTTATTTCTTGCCTTTGCTTCCAAAGCGTTGAAATAAAGTGGAGGATGCGAGAGTGTATAAATGTTGGAATTTGCTCCCATTTCTCCCATGATGCAAATGCTAATTTAATATCTTTTCCCATTTTGGTTTGTATGCGTTTTCTCACACACGATTTCAAGTGAGCTTCTTGTCACCTTGGCTTCTCAAAATTCTCACATGTATGAATGAGTCTGGCATAAGAATTGCAAAACAAGATCACACATTGTATGTGTAAAATATCCTCGTACTTGTTTCTCTTGCCATTTTTCATTTTATTTTCAAGCATTTTGCACTTGACACTGTGTGCAAAAATCGTGCAGAGTTGAAGTTATTAGTATTGTTGTGTTCTGTCGCTGAGAGAAACACAGTGACCAGCAAGCCAGGCTCCAATTTGCAACGAGTTTTGATACATGCAGAAGGTGACGTTGAAAGAAGGCAGTCACTATTTAAATAAGTTGCTTGTTTTATATACGTATTTTCTTCTTATTGCCAAGGTTGACTTATTTAATACCATAAACGGATATGCAACCAAATAAAGTCTCACTCACAATCGCGCGCGCGCGGTGTGATTTCTCTATTGCGCTCTCCTCTTTCAGTTTGCAAACCATGTGGCTCTTTGGGTTTCGTCTCTCCATAAGCGCCACATGGTGAATGCGTGAAATAAATTTTGAAACTTCTCTCTTTGCCGGTGTGCTGGCACTTTTGGCTTTTTCGCACATATTCACACGTCACTGAATTTTTGATACATATCGCGATGTGAGGAAGAGAGAGAGAGAGAAGAGAGGCTTGAATTTGATGGTGTCTTCACGGCTTATTCACACCTCAAGCTCAAATATATAATGAAGTTGTTCTTCTGTGCTGCGGCCACAGTTGAGAACATGTGTTGTGCAAATGTTTCATCTTACACTGCAATCTAAGATTGTTCAATGATGATAAAGTTCGACTGCGGGTTTCACTTGATATTTTTCTTCAAATATTGTCATAGTAAAATTTGTACAATTTCATTTTGAGAAAGTGGCAACAAGAGCAGTCAGTTTTCATAGTGGTAATCTTATCGATGAATTTCCGGTCTTCGGTTGGACTTCCCAAAGGCGCGCAATCTCTTAACTATGCTGAATTTGACTTGACGATATAAAGTCGCAACTTTGGTAGCGTCGTTGAATTCTCTCTTTTTTTATCTACTTTCTACATACATTTTCTGTTACTCGGGTCATGACTGACTTCTGTCTGGAACGTTATCAATAGACGTTACGTGATCTTTCTCACAATGCAAGAGAGTTGCTCTGAACAATCTTATAGCTTTAGGGCTGGGATTTAACAATCATTACATGAGTAATTTGCGCAGTCGGAACTCTGCTTTTTAATTTTTGCAATTGTGTTGATAAAGATTTCTTGAACTGATGATGCTCTGCGCATAATTCTCATGTTGTTTTTCCTTGCTATAGAGTCTAATATGGCCAAACTTTTAGCAATGAAAGCAATTGATGGGGTTAAAAATGAAAGACCTCACAAAATTCTCGCAAAGTTTCATCTTTTTTGTGTGTAATTCATTAGAAATGCAGATATGTGATGAAAAAATTTAGCTTTGCGATTGTTTGTCTATATTTTCCACTATCGTAATTCCATATCTTAAAGTGAGATTCTGCATTTGAGTCTGTACAATGTTGCTAAGTTGGGGAAAAAGTAGAATTTCTTTATATACCGATTGAGTATAAATTGATGAGAACATGTTGGATTATGTTGGGAAGACACAATTCTCTATGTGGTGTTGGTTATAATTTTATGTACATATAAACAGCAGTGGTTGAATTGAAAAAGAAAATAAGTATAGACAGTGCGGCAAACGGGTTTCTTAGAGCTGCTGCTCATGTCATAAAAGACGCGTTTTCCACCAAACGGCAGCATCTTTGCGGAGTTGATCTTTTGTTGAAAGAGAGGCCAATATCATGAGTATTTTATGTCTATACAGATGATTGTGTTGTGCGAATGTGTGTTTGTGTGTGAGTTGAGGTTGAGACCCACATTCGGCGCGCAAATCTATTTTTAGGCATATTCTGGTAGAAGAGAAAAAAATCACAAGTATTATAAATATGTTATTGGGAAAATATATAATATCAGAGGAGTTTCCTTTTTGAAAGAATTGTGCTGCCATTTTGCTGTTGTGCGAATATGTGGCTTTCATTGGAAATGGAAACCTCTTCTCTGCATAATAACTTTATTCTACACCGCACACACTAATCTTTTGCTGAATGGCGAAGTCAAGGAATCCCTCCTTGTTCGGGGAATGAGATAAGAAGGGGAAGAAACGGAAAGAAACTTTGATAAATGAATTTGGTGCGCCACGTTTTTTTGCCACCACAGAGAGGAATAAAGATGGAAAAGCCTAATGATGTTTTATCACATTTTCCCCTTAATATCATTAGCATATAATCTCTAAGACACTCTGTACATTTCTTTTTATGAAAATGTAAGAAACAAATTGGTTGCCAATGATAAGTACTTGATTTTACGCAATTCTCTGTCATTCAGCGGATTTCACCTTCTTCGCAATGTTTGAAAATGCCAAAAATGCTGTATTTATTTATAAATGCAACTAATCATGCTGATCTCTGTTCTATTTTCAGGTGACAAAAGATGAAATATCAAAACTAGTGAAAGGGTTTGAAAGGGAGGATCTGCTCACAAGCGGCGGTGTCACCTTAGCTGGTCAGCGATATATTTACTTGTCGGGAACCGATCGAGTCATACGTGCCAAATTAGGCAAAGTCGGCGTACATTGTATGAAGACGCAGCAAGGTAGGATTGCTCTTTGTGCATTCAGAGTGTTTGACTAATGCAAAAATAATCTAATGCAATTTTGTGTTGTCCTTCTTTTCCCCAAATGCAGCGGTGATAGTTTCAATCTATGAGGATCCTGTTCAACCGCAACAGGCGGCTTCTGTTGTAGAGAAACTTGGTGATTACTTGATTACATGCGGGTACTAAAGAGGTATGATAAGTTTCTTTTTGCCATATCTTAAAGATAAATCAACTGAAAGTCTCTCTATTGTCTGCTAGCAAAAGGTTAAGGTTGAGAAAAGATCTATGAGTGAATCATTGCATGATTAATTGCTGAATATTTTCAATGACCTCAACGTGTTGTTGTAAAGTGCAGAAATGTATGACAAATTGAGAAGTATTTTTTTATTGCTAAAATAAACACTTTACGTCTCGTAAACCTCATTAAAACTTCCCATGAAATTGACTTGCAGTTATCAGCGAAATTTTATTTGCAATAATGTCACAGAATGCATGGAATTTGATAAGCTTCGATGCACTCGAATAACATGACTTCATTTGGCTATTGAAAGTAAGAGTGGCGAATGTAGAATCTTATGGTGTTGGACATAAGGTTAATTAATGCGTTTCATTTCGCAAATGATGATAAGCATTGAAGTTGGGTGATAATCTATTGAATTTTCTCCCCTTCCCGGACTTTTGTTAATCTCATTTGCAACAAGTTGTTGTTGATTAAAAATGCAGTGTTGGTGTGTTTACATATTATCTGCACTATTCAGCATAAAATTATATATTGTGGCTTCAATGACTATTCCGCAAAACTTGCTTTTACTTCAAGTCACTGTAAAATGTGTGAAGGAAATATTATTCAATTCTTAAAAAAAAATATTGTTTAGCTGCAGAAATCATCCACAATTTAGAGAGACTTTCAGTAGAGATTTCGTTTGATTGTGTTACAAGTATTAATAGAGAGAGAAAGAAAGAAGAAAAAACCCTCCTAAAACGGAAATAATAATCGAAGCGAATAAGAAAGAAAGGAAAGAAAATCCAGTGTGTGTAAAACACATATGAAAATACTCAATTCAATTGTTAATTAAATTATTTCACTTTACTTTCTTTGAAGACTTTGAAGCACAAAAAATTACCATTTTTATGCAATACACGTAATTTCTGTATTAAATCCATAAACCATTTTGTTGTGTATTTTCTTTCCTTTTCTTCTTCAAACCCACAAGACTGTGACGTAGAGAAGAGCGAGAAAAGAGGAGAAAATGTTGGCATGAATTGTGTGTGCCAAACAAATTTATTAATAAATAAACAATATAAATGAAGAAAAATGAAATTGAAACTATAAATAATACTTTGCAGAGACTTTGAACAGAGAAAAGACGTTGAGGAACGTTTTTTTCTGTTTGAAATTTCATAATTTAGTACATTTTTCTCTCTCGAAAAGACGAATTTTTCATGTCACTAAAGCAATGTTTGTTTGCTATTCTTTCCAGGTTGATGTGTGTGTGCTCGAACGATCATGTAATCACATTTCTCTTCGGCATTAATTTGTATAAGAATTAATAATTATTAAAGAAGTGGAAATTAAAATTATATAAAAATTGATGAAGAAAAAAGAATGATGGAAACAAGATAAAAACAGCTATAAAAGGATAATGATATAAAGAAGAAGAAAAATAATGGAAGAGAAGTAAGGAATAAATTCAATACTTTGCGTTTTAGCTGCACTTTTTTTTTTATTACAAAATTTAAAATAGAATATTTTGAATATGTTCTTTTTGCGATTATTCAAGAAGGGTGAAAAAAAAATCCAGTGGAAAAATGTAGCGAGAAATAAAAAGATCATTATGTTAACTATTTGTCTTACCTTTTCAACAGGAATTTCTGAAGTCTTTGGCTTTTTTTAGTTCTTCTAACATGGAATGGCATGAAAAAAAAAATGATATTTGAAGATGCGTTGACATTTGTAATTAAACTAAACAAAAAGAAATTGAGAAATAGTAATTTTCTTGCAATTAATTAGTTTTACTGATGAGAACTGGCTTTTATGCATTTTGTCTTTTTTTGTTTTACAATTATATAAAAAAATTGCCTATGTTTTTTTAACTCTATTTTTACTCTCTAAATGGTAAAATCTTTTGTATATTTGATTTTTCTCGCAAGCACACCTCAATGTTTTTCTTCTCTTCTTCTCAACAACAGCCCGCGTTCTTTAGCTGTTTCTTTTGTCTCTATATTTAAATGTAGGAAATAATAAACAAAAAGTGAAGAAAAAACACTTATCATTCTTATAAATCATATTGCGCAAAGTAAAGAGAAAAACAGTGAGTAAGAAAGTAATGTCATAAAATCACATCATTTCAGAGGAAAAAGAAAGAATATAATTATGTGGAGAATTTTTTGCGGAAATAATTAAATAAAAATATGAGAAATCAAGTGAATATAATTTTCTCTCAGTTTTCATCTTAATCACACGCGCTGCAAAAGCTGCGATTTGATGTCTTGATATCGAGAAGGAATTTTCTTGGCGAACAGTAAATTTTTCTAAGGATAAAGAGAGAAAGTTCATTTTTTCTATTACTCTTAGTAGGTGTAGTATTTTTATCAGATATTTAATGAAGGAGGAAATTGAGAAAAAAGAGGATGAGAAGTAATAAAGAAATGATGAGAATTATTCTGACGATGAAAAAGAAATAATATTGTAATTTCTGTGTTGTGACTAAAGGCAAAACAAAAAAAAAGTGGGATAAAGCTTTTTCTTTTGCGTCTTCGGAAAGATTTAGAAAGTAAAGTAAGACACACTTTGTAAAATCTCGTCAAAATAATATTCCTTCATCTTCCAAATTCACTGACATTTTTTTTTTTAATCTTTTGGTGAGATTTGATGTGAATATTTGTAGAGATGAGTATAAAAAAAAGGTGAAGAAAAGAAGGATTTGTGATGATGAGAAGAGAGTCATGTTTTTTTTTTTGGTGTAAGAGGAAGAAAATAGCAATTTTTAAGCAGTATTTCATAAAAATTTTTCTTCAACACCTTTTCTCCTTTTTAATTTTTCGACTTATGCGCAACAAGAAAATAAGCTGATAAAATATTGCAAGAATATGAGTAGAAAAGCCATTTTTGCTGATATTTTTGAAATATCCAATGACTTTGTAATAGTAAAGCATAAAAGAAGGATGAAGAAAAAAAAAACAACACTAAGAAATTATGAATAAATAATATAAACATATATCAAGAACAATACAACATGAAAGATTGAGGAAAAACAACACAATAGTAATTAATGGATAATGAAATAGTTGAAAATAACGACTTTGATACTGGCAAATAATTAAAGTAACAATTTTTATTAAAGAAGAAAAAGAAAACAAATAATAAAAGTGAGTGTAATAACATGTAAGCTAGTGGTTTTGAGAGAAGAGGTGAAAAAATTTCGTAATTTTTTACATGATGTTGTGTAAAATCCATACAAAAAATATATATATTAAATAACACATTTTTCCTCCCAATTGCTAGTCCCAAAAATAAGAAAAAAAATAATGCAAGAGAAAATGTAACGCATAAAATGAAAAATCATCTTTCGAATTAAAAAAAAATGAAATGAGAAAAAAAATGTTTGCAGTGAAGAAAAGTGGCATTTAAAAATAAAAGAAAAAAAAATCAGAGTTCTCATCTGAAAAATTATAATGCAGAAAAAATTGAGATATTTATGCATGTAAAATTAACATGGAAATTTGTAAAAGCAACACAGATATGCAAATTAAAGACGATAAATCGATGATTTTCACTTACTTTCCAATCATGCTTCCAGCTTTTTGTGCTCTCCAATGGTCAATGTTTATTGTGGCTTTTCCGGGAGGAGTTTAATCCATATTTAAAAAAAAACGAGAAAAACAAATCAACTTTACACGATATAATTGCTCAAATCTAAGAAAAGAAAACAACACGTGAATAGTTTTCATTTCACTTTATTTCCCACTTTGTCTCATCTCTTTATTGATTTGTTCTTATCCTAAAAATAATTACAACATACTTGAGAATATTGCATATAATGAAAAGGAGTAAAATATAAATCTAGGACTATAGCTTGTAATTATTCTTTGCAAGGAATGTCTATACAAAAGAAGAAAAAAAAACACAAAAATCATTGAATAATAAATTTGTATTATAACTCCGTGTGTCTCATTAAAAGCACTGCGCATTTTTCTCACTTTTTTCCGTCCAATTAACAACCATTTCTTGTGTGATAAAACCTCGTGTTGTGCCTAAGCTTAGCGCGCTTGTGCGTCGATGCGCTTGAAAAGTCGCATGATTGATGGCTCAACATCACTTTCTCCAGCTCGATATGCTCCTCAGTTGATTCCACGAGCGTCACTTTATGACACCTGCGGAGAAATAATAGAGAGCAAAACTTCTGGAGAGGCGAAAGCACTGACCTGGGAAAGTCGATCGCGCGCGATTCTATTTTAAGAGGTGAGATTGCCTAAGAGATCTTCGGAGATTCCAAGGTGAGAGTGTCTAATTGGGGAATGTGTGACCTCATTAGACGCGTGTGTTTATTTGCGTTGGAAAAGTGTGAGGAATTTGAGTTGATAGACCAAAACCCAGGTTCCAGAACCATATTGCGTTCACGCGTTTTTATAGGGATAAACAGAGCTCAATTATCACCCCATCTGATAGTATTAGATAGCATATTTCTGTGTTTATGACTGCACTCAGAAAAATCATATTTTATTGAATCAAGAAATGAGTTTCTAAAAGGTCTTGAAATTAGTCTAAATCTACGTAATTTCAAATCCTTTTCGATTGTCATAAACCTAAGTTTTCAAATTTACCTTCAAATCAAGCTGGTTTCCTATAAAATTAACACCTTTCTCGGCATAAATTCAAGACTTTTTATGCACAAATATGAAATTATAGGTTTTCTAACACTCCTAAATATATTGAGACTGAAATCAAGGATTTAAAAGTAAAAAAAATTCAGTAGAATCTTGCTATAGGATTGATTATGTGATCAGAACGGTCAAATATTTGGTTTTACGAGGTTAAACTCATCTAATCTTGTGTGATTAAAGAAGCTGATAACCTCTCAAAACCAATATTTAGAGTCTTTAGCAGTCTCACAAGGACAAAAAAATACATGTTGATTTACTCTGATGATATTAACAACACAGCAAAAGAATTATCCTCAATTGTCAAGCAACGAATGAAAGAATATTTAAAAGCGAATTTACACACTTGTAAATCGATATTTTTGTCTACAAATGCAGAATTGCAGTGACTCCTGAAGTTTTCCTTTGTGTTTTCTCGCAAATTCAGCTGAGTTTTCTCAATGAAAACCGCACATGCAAATTTTCGAGCAGACAAAGTGCCACAATATGTACATGATTCTCGCGATTGCGCATAATCATCTGCTTCTGGACAAAAAACAAACAGTCGAGTTGCTCGTCTGCAAAGTCATTCATATTCGTCTCGTCAGCGAAGAATCCACACCATATGTTCATCCAGTCGGAAACTCCACTCAGAAAAATCTTCTGTTGACTGCGCTTCTTGCATAAAAATGCACAGACAAACTTTCCCGGCGCGAAACTCTGCTGATAAATCGAAGAAAATATGGGCGTTGAGAAAGTTTTCTGCAAGAATTCTTCACAAAACTCTGGTGTAAAACTCTTCCGGTTAATCCATGAGTTTCCTTTTATTGATGTCAACTCTACAAATGTGGCGTGCGCTTTTTTTTCTTCATGTGGTATATTTTTTAATCTCCTGCCAGAGATTCTTCTCGTCGTTTTATCATCTTTCTCTCTCTTTTTTCATATAAAGGTAAATTTGAGTATTGAAATAGTCTTTGAGTGGTTTTTTCTTCACTTCTTTTCTTCTCATCTCTTACTTCTTGTCAGGAGTCAAATTTCTCTAGCCTCACTCCATATCCCTTTTCTAAACACACATTTTTCTTCAAAAAGGATTCATTCACGTGATCATCCCTTTAATTTAAACTTTAAATACTAGTAATTGTAATACATGTTGCGCGTGTGTGTGAGTGTGTGTTTGGGGCACTTTCTTGTTCATGACATTCATTGTTAACAAAAGTAACTTTCCTACTCAATTGTGTCCACACATTCATCATCATTACTTGTGCTCATTATTTATTCCTTCTTATGGCCTGAAATCTCCTCTATGATATTTTTAATTGCTAAACCGCTGAAAGGATGATTAGAAACGATAAAAAACACATGTAAACAAAGTCTCGTTCAGTGGGTGAATGAATGGAAACACATAAATTGGATATAAATAGGACATCTTCTTCTCCTTCTTTTCAATTCACATCTCTCTAACCGACCTCAATGTAACTCACATTCATTTAGCAATAATTCAGAGAGTTATTTATGCAAAGTTGTAACTCATCTTGTGTTTGTGTGCCTCTCAAGTGCACAGCAAACTTGAAAGAAATTCGCTTTGGGGAAATTGGATCAGGGATTGTAAACGGAAAATTTGTGCTTTTCACAACTCTGCAATATTTGTTTCATCTTCGCTGTTTCTTCAGTAACACTAGAAAATAGAACACTTCTCCTTCCCAAAATGGCTCCTTATGCGTTTTACGTTTTATCTGTGACTTATTGTTTTGCTGCGCGTGATTAATCAGGAGACAACAACAAAAAATTTGATGCGTTTTTTTTCCTATTTCTTTGTATATCGTTTCATCATGTAATACTTCCGTTCTTCTCCATCTTGTATCTCCTCTATATTATTCTATAAAAATATTTTATTATTGTTATGCTATCAGTGATTTCTTCTCCTTCGCCTCGTCAATGATTTTTTTTTCTTTAGTCTTCAGGACAAAGAGAGAATACTAATGTTATTTCTTTGAAAAGTTTGAATTGCGAAAAGTCCTTTTTTTCTCCCTCTCTCTCTCTGTCTTTCGCTTCACTGTCAGATTTATGAGAGAGAGAGAAAAGGGACATGATAGAAAAAATGGAGTTTCCTTCTAACAAATTGCTGATACTTTCTATGTACAAATATTTGTTTTATCATTTATATAAGTTTAATATTACGTGAGTTTTTTTCCTCGCATTTTTTTTCCCTTCTTAATGTTGAGTTTGCTAGGCCATTACAAAATTTTTTTCTTTACGTTTAAATTTATCTTATCAGCACATTTTGTGCGAAATTCTTTCATTTCATGATTCTTGTTTCTTTGGAAGGGTTTTCTAAAATACTTTTAGAGATTCTAATCTGTGACTTTCCTTTACTTGATATTAATGTTATCCTATTCCAATGGCAGTTCATGAAAAAGTTTATCATCTGTTTCAAAATCACGTTATTAAAAATTGCATTATATATGAAAACAATGTGATGAAAATGTAAGAGAGAATTTTAATAGAAATTTCTTGTAAAATCAAACATGGCACAGAATGATTAATATGAAAATATAAATCTGAAGAATATCGCAAATGTAAAACAACGTTGAAAAAATAAAAACCAACTGACAATTGCACGAATGTGTTGTGTTAATCACACCTTTTTCTCTATATACTCAACTTGCCCATTGAATGTCGTCTTACCCATCTTTTATCATTTCTCCGTACAAGACTAACAGCAAAATGTGGAAAAATTCTATGTGTGTAAATTCTAATAATTACATTTCCATCCTTTTCATCCCTTTTGCCTGCCTCACGTCCACTTCACTGACTCCCTCACCATCATCATCATCATCGTCCTCGTCGGCCTCACGACGGTGCCAAAAGGCGCATGAGAAGCGGGAAAATTATTGTTCCAATGAGTAGTGCTTTGACTTCTTCCAGAAACTCTTGAAGAACCCCTTCTTCTTCTGTGTTGTCGGATTCTTCGGGGCTTCTTCGGCTGAAACAAGACAATCAATAGCTATTTAAAGGCTCCTTCACTTTCTGCAAATTTATAAAACTATGCTAAAGATATGGATATATTGCCATCAATTCAGCTAAAGTCACTAAAAAATTGAAATTGCTTCTCAACCTCTTTGATCTCTCAGCGTGAAAGAGAGCAGAAAAGTGAAAAAATTACGTGGACTTCTTTGCATTTTTCCTTCCTTTTGTTCACGCTCCTTCTCAAAGAAAAGACTAAGTGAAAGAAAGGAAATTTTCTTAGCCAGGTGAAGTCACATTTCCACTAATTTCGTGAATCATTAGCAAACATTTCCGTTATAGGGAAAAAGAGTGACTTTTTTCCAGCGAAAATGATAAGCCATCAAATTAACCACTCTCTCTTTCTTTCTTCTCCTGGCATCATTCGCTGGCCATTCATGGGAAAGTGTCAAGTGAAAATTGATGGCATGTCTGAAGGGCATTGAGGAAAAATCTCTAGCAAACTGGTTCATAGCAAATATCTGCATTTAACTATGAGTCCATCAAATGTTAGCTCTGACATTTCACAGTCTTTATCGCCATTCGCAAAATACCTCAAACAGATAAGACTTGTGCTGAATAAAATCTATCACTCGATTGTGCCTGAGACACACGTAAAGTCTAGTGTCATAAAGAAATGTAATGCTCAACGTCATACATTCTCTCATTTTCTCTCACGGCGCACACAAATATTTCCATGACTGATAAAATTTGTCATCACATCGCGAGACGATAACTTAAAATAACTCATTACTGTATGGGAGTGTAGAGACAAATGTATGATTTTCATGCGTACTTATTTGAATGAAGCGACTTTAGCTACATATAATAAAAGGATATTATGTTATTAGCTCTCCACTTGATAATAAGATTAACAAGACTAAGATCTAGTGACTTGGAATCCAAATGGGAGTAGATTTATCTCTTAAAAATGGACTATTTTCATGAAATTTACATTTGAAACTAATTTCTCCACATTAAAGTTGGTCCACAACATCAAAAATGCATTTTAATTCCTCTATTTAGAAAAAGTCGAGAGTTTTCATGCCTTATGTTAGAGCACATCTGCTTTATTTTGCCAATTGTTTAGCAAAAATTTCAAAGTTGAAGTGAATTTTCACGCAAGAATTGCCACAGTGTTATTTGCTCTCAACTTTGTTCCTTTCATCCCCAAATGCGCGATTCATGCATAGCAGACTGAAGTGGATTTTGAACAAAGCGCACGACTTTAATCATGCCACTTTGTCGTGAAACATTTTTGTGCAGTTGCACACACACACTTTAGATGCAAATTGCCGTGGAATTAACAACATTTTTGAGAAAAAACATTTCTCCGAATACAAGTAAACTCACCTAATGCACCAGAAGGATTATAATGCGACTGTGTCAAGTGTAAATCGCGTTCTCGTTGACTATCACGTTTCGCTTCTTTAGAATTGTTGCCTGTCGATGGGAAAAGATGACAGATTTTCATTAGATTTTCGCTCCTAGTCATGTAGAAATTTAACAGCACGAAAAATGCAGTGAATGAAAGCAATTAACAATGATTGATTTTGTGCTTAGAATTTAGACGTCTTCTTTTCATTTGGCCAAATAATTTTGTCGTAGATGAGAAAATGCTGTGAATTTTCCATTTAACATCCTTTTTAACTGACTACAGATCTACTGATAAACATGTAGACAAGGTAATAATAATGAAGAGAGGAGTTAACAGTGTTGCATGAATTGTACAATATTAGTTCTGGAAATATCATGCTAATAGATGTGCAAAATGAATGGATCGAATTGCAAAGTGGAGGGATTTTCTCTTATCTATTTTGTATGATTACACATGGAGAATAAACAGCGAGATATGATATGAATCTGAGTGAATGTGGTGTGTTTTTAGATGATGTGTGAAACGTCGCCACAAGTTTACTACTCTTTGTGTTTATTAACTGTGTTATTTTTTTCCGACTTTCACCTCCAATATTCATTTCAATGATTCCGCGTAAAAATTGTCCCAAAATCCATATCGAGAACTTTGCTATTTTTACACACACGCCACTTCAATTTTTTATTTATATATCAACCCACTGCGCGCGATCTCACTTAAAAATTCATCACATTTCCCGCCATTAATTCTCTTCCGCTCCTCTGTCACTCCTGATGAAATCAATTGAGACATTTTATGTGAATATAAATGCTCAAACGCCATAAGATGTTACTCTTTCTCGCCTGCAAGAAACGTGAGGCCTTTCTGGCAAAATTACATTCACCCAAAACGACCATGTGGAGGTGTATAAAATCAATCTTTCCCAATTGACCTTCTCTCCTTATCGGCATATCAAATCGAATTTATATAATGGGAAATAAAAAATTAAATCTTTCACAACTTTTTTTTATATGACAAGCACCGAAGAAAACCACACACACACAAAACTTTTATAGCTTATCGCAATATTTTTTTCTCCTCCCTTTTGCGTCCGAAATCTTATGGATTAATCATAAAAGAAAAAAAAAACTATAAAAGACGGATTCATAAAAGGAATCTTCTGAGATTTTTCTTCCCATGCGTAAATCCTACAAATGGAGAGGAAAACAAGGAGAAAAGGCACATAATTTTCTCACTCAATGTGACTCATTTGCAGCCTATAAATATCCACAAGTCGTTATCACTTTGACGATGTGTGTGAAATCGTTAAATAATTCGTATTTATTGAATCGTAACCCACGCCCAAAATATGCTAAATTACTCGCTTTCTCTCTCTCTCCTTCGATGCTATCCTAAAAATACCTCAACGCAGCCGTCGGATTTTATTTTCAGCCCCACTCAAGCTTTCTTCACTGTGAAAATCACACACAGGACAGAGATTCAGCTAGAAATTGCCAAATCAACTTTTAAAGTGCAAATTTGAAAGAAAAGGTCAACAAACCCATATTTCAATAGGAAAAAAGATTCTCTGCCTTTTTCTTCTTCCATACCCTCGAGTCGCGGCCAAAGGAAATGCGCGCGTTCGCTTCTTTTACCAACCCCGATATTCCGTACCTTTGCGAATGAGTAAACTAGTGACGCGTCGCAAAGCTTCACGTGGCGACTTGTTGAAAAATTTGGGTGTGAGGTTTGGCGGCAGAGTGAGCGGTTTGCGGCTACTCGTACCAGCGTCCCATGCTCTGAAGCCCTGCGCCTGTTGGTGCAGCCGATCCAGATTCTCCGTGGACGCCGGTCGGTGTCTCTGCTTCGGATACCATCCACGGGCCGGACCGCCGGCGAGGCGCAGCATCTCACCACTCGCCAGCACGTGATTGATATTCCTCTGGCGACTGCTAACTGGATTTCCTGCAAAATTGATTAGCAAGTGAGCAGAATTCCCCATCAATTCCATGAATATTCGCATCTGACGAATCCTAATAAGTGTCTCTGACTCTGTGATACTAATTTTACGCATCATTTCACAGAGTCACTTTAGTGGAAAACTTACGAAGTATTATATAAAGTTTTAATATGGCTTTACAACAATGTCGCTTTAATACTTGAAATTAATCTCATCGCGGAGAACAAGAAAGCCTATATAACATAGGAATTTCACGCATAATTAGATAATGCCTATAAATACATCCAATTACAGCTTTCACTTCGGAGACCATAAGAAACGCTCAACTCATTTTCTCAAGAGCAACTCGAGATTTTCTCTCAGTCCTTTAAAGAACCCCCAACGATACTTTAAAACTTTCAGCAAAATCAATATTAAGCTCCACAAGTTGATGTATCACGCTAAAAAAAATACAGCACATGACCCACAAATCAGGACGGAAAGCACTATTTCACAAACATTAGTTTCTGAAGTTATTAAGCACTTTTTCATAACTTCTGTGTGGCGATAAGCCCTCTTCATTGCATAATTTTCCATCTAGGTGCACACAAAAATTACTCCTTAATCCCCTCACATTTGTTTGAGAGAGTGAGAGAAGGAAAACAAGATGAATTCTCCCTTATCACTCTTGATCAAGTTCATTCCTTCGCAATTCACTTGCAGTGCGAACAAACACAATTGCAAGCGAGCCATTCCATTATTCCGAACTGAGATTGTGCAAACGAGTAAGTTTTATCGTTCTTTCTCCACTCTTTGCACCCATTCTCTGCACGAATCAGAGGCCTACATATAACTAAAGCTTTCCAGGAGGCGAGCGGATGGTTTTTCCACAATCCCTGATAGTGCAATACTTGTGTTATGACTGACAATCTTTCTCACCAATTCCCACAATAGAGGCGTTCATTGATGCAGAATGGGCGGAATTATTCCCAGAACGCGGAGCTGTTCTGCTTCCTGTTCCAGAATTCGGCAATTCAGGCGCCCGACGATGTGGTGTCCGTGGAATATCACACCTGAAAGATATAAATAAATAGCACCAACGTCAGGATAGTATATATTTATCGATTTGTTCAAATTAAAATTCTACGTGGAAAAAAATTCTTAATTAAAACACTTTCGTGAATGCTTAATGAAAATTTGTCGATAGCAGAGCTTTTCAATAAAAAAAAACTATGTACATGGAATTTCATCAGGTAAAATTAATTTTTTTTTCAACAGCATAACATTGAATAGGAGGATGAAGTGGAAATTTATCAATACGAAAGTGATGTTTTGCCTTATCGCATTTTTCATTTCAAGCATGCAAAATTAATTCTTCCGCAATGCCGAAATTGAATCATTAATTATTCATATATGTCTCTTATTTCGGGTAATTCACTTTTAATGCATCGCCACCCCCAGGAACAGGAGCTCGCTTTTTGGCCACGACGGCTTTTTATAGCGCCTTAACTTGCGAGTGAAGGAGAAAAGCATCTTATAGAGACATATATATAATATGCTGAGTGAGCCAAAAATGAGATCTTGTACACAACAGAATAAATTCACAAACCCTGCAAAACACAAACATAAATTTATGTGTATTTCACCCCTTTCCACAAAGCGCGTGTCTGTTTCTTGCATAAAAATATGGCCATGAGTGTGAATTCATGTTGAAATCTTGATATGACCACTCTTTTTGCATTTAAAGTGAATTCCACACACAACATGACGAAAAAATCCATATTTGTGCAGGATTTTAACTAGATCAGAATTCAAACAGTCTCTCTATAAATATAAAACGTTATTCCTGTGTTTCCCTCGCGTCATATCATTTTGCATTACTCGCAGTTTTATACTCTCAACTTTTCATGATAGTTGCTCTAGTGGAAGAGAAACTTTCCATTGAGCACACAGACAACCAAGTGCAATCGTTTGTCAAAGCACTAAAGTTTGATCCTAAAATTTAATAAGGACACAATTCTTCAATTTTATCGCTCATCAGTTCGGAAATCTCAAGATGTTTTACACTGAAATTATACTAAAATCAAATATTTTAATGTACAACAACATACTTTTTCCACCTGAGACCCTTTTCCTGTGCTTACTTTTCAGTTGAATTTATACAATTCTCAGACAGACGGTATACTTTATAGCATACAATGAATATCCGAGGATAAGCACAGTACTGTGAAAAATATAGTGGATGATTTTATGACGAAATGCTATAACTTTCCTCAATATTAAACTTTTCCGAAAACCATCACATCAAAATTTCATGGAATTTCACTCCCTCGGTGAAAATAGTGTGTCTATACAACTGCCCATCGCACAGTACAGTGAAACGTTAGAGGAGCCCGAAGGAGAAACGAATGAGAATTGATGGTGTTCAACTCACCCTCTGGCGAAAATGGGTGTTTCTGGCAAACTGCACGATGTCTGAAGGCGGCGCTCCTCGCGCGGACTCTGTCCGGACAACCTTTTGGGAAATGCACCCGACATGAAGCGTCGCCGTGAGCCAATTCCATTGCCGCCACACCCGCCCACGCCGCCCGCCAGCTCAGACGGAAGGGTGCCTGGGCCATGCGGTGAGGTGGGGGCGAAAGTGCCATTGCGATAGGACTTGCTGAAGCCCGCGTCCATCGATCGTGTCTTGAGGGTGTTCAGTGATGGTCCACGATGCGGCGGCACCGCCGGCGGCTGCTCCTCGTCCTCCTGATAGTAGCTATCGTGCTTTGGCGGCAGCCGCGGTGTGCGCTTCATGTCGAGATACTCATCCTTTGACTCCGCGTGGCGCGGAGACGGCGGCAATGGCGGGAAACCGTCACTCTCCATCTCAGGACTAGAACTTGGTGGCGATGGCGGCAGCGGCCCGAACACCGACTGCGATAGGAGCATCTCTTTGGCACTCTCCGACTTGTGCACACCAGGCCGAAAGCCCAGAGGTCGCCGAATCATTGGAATATCCGCCACACGGGCCACCGGAATGTCACCGCGCAGCAATGCACTGATATTATTCTCAATCTGACGCAATGGGGCACCACGCTGAGATTCACTGTCCTGCTCCTCATCTTCTTCGATGGGTGGCGCGAGCTCGCGACGTGGGGTTGAGAGATTTTCTCCACCTGCAAAAGCCACACAATAGAGAAAAGAGAAAGAGAAATATTTCAAATCAGTGTCAACAATTTAATTAAAATTTTAATAAATGTTCATCTTTTTCTCACACTCCTTGTGACTTTTGTTAATGAAAAACAGTAAAGCTGTTTCTTATTGCCGCTGCAAATTTATATCATTTCTACCACTTTAACGTTCCATTGCTAAAGTTGCAAACACCCCACAGGAATACCACGGCATTCGGATGGTATTTCCTTGTGTGGGGGAGAGAAAGAATAGTTTTCCAGACAGATCCCACTCAATTTTCCATTTCCCATAATCTCTCGCCATTCTCCTCTTCCTCCAACTGTGGGGCATCAATACCGCTTGAAACGATAGCTTGTAATTATGTTGCAATTTAGGAATTTACGTTATTCAAGTAGATAAAATAGTCGTCTCAGGTTCAAGAAACCATTCCCACAAAAGAAAAAAGTTGCAATTTACTTTCACCCCACGTATTGTCTGAGGATGCAAATATGTTATCCCAAAGTGCCATCACGCGCCCGAAAAGGTACAAAAAGATTGTATCAACATGAAAAATAAACCTCAACGGTACTGCATCGCTATTTTTTTTGTTATAATTCCCTCCCTCAAGTATCTATATTCTAGGCTAGGGGAGAAATCACGCAAGAGTGTAATCCAATAAATTGAATTTGCATAATGTCTACTTTTCGAACGGTAAATCCCATCGGCTATCATGTGAAAAACACCAAGGGAAAATAACGATGTCAACAATCGACGTTGTTAGCGAAGTTTCTCGTTGGCACAATCAAATAGGAAGAGTAAAAAAATTTATAATAATATTTTAAGCAATTAATGTCGAGAGACACAAATAGCATTGCAACAGTGCACACGCCACATTTCTCTGGTGCGAAAAACTTTCAATCAATTAAAAAGAAGCCTGTGCATCATGAATATGAATGAATTATCGATTTTTGTCGAGGCACACGGTGGATGTCGGTAAAAGGATTTCTGGTGGCTTTTAAGCTCGTCTGCTTTATCACAATGGACTGAATTTCATTGGGCAACATCGACGGAGTATAAAATGTGGGAAAAAATTACCCGAATGTGGTGGTGTAATTGCTGGTAACGATGCCACACGAGTTAGAGAATATCCATTGCTATAGCCAGTAGAAGCCGCTTGTCCGCTATTGCTTGCATCAAGTGCCTGAAGTCCATCGAATGTGGAACTGTATGTTTTGAATTCAGAATATCGTGGTGAGATTACAGTGCTGTTATTCGTGACAGATGCCGATGCGGGAAGCTCTGAGGTAGGTGAACTTAAGTCTAGTGATAAACGTGATCTGTGGGCGAGGATATAATTGTAAAGAAAATAAACCGTGTGAGACACATATTGATATTATTGTGACGTGGACGAAAAATTGTACAGAATGATTGAGAAGAATCTCACCTTGGTGAACAGAGTGAATTCATAATGGGCGGAGGTGGCGGCGGAGGAGATCCCAAATCTATGCTATGCCTCGAATTGGGAATGAGCATAGAGACTGGAAACACAGGACTCGGTAACTCAATACTCCCGCCGCCCTCTCGTCCATATCTACTTGTGTTAACTGATGACACCGCCTCCATATTCGGCACTCGTTGACGCTGCTTTCTGCCCTTGCGAATAACGTACGTCCCTTGCCCGAGGAAGCTCGTGGGATATGGAATGACCTCATCTAATGAATGGCAAATTCATCATATTACGGGAGAGAAGAAGCACAAAAAAAAAGAACAAGAGATACATATAAATTCTCTGTGCATGAAAAATTCACACATTTCCATCTCTTCTCACCAGAATCCGAATAAATAGACGCCGCCTCATCTTCTGTACTACAAATTGGTGCCTCAGGTGGATCTGGCCATTCAGCAGATCCAGTTCGTTTATTGCTTGTACCACTATGACCAGGAGTTGATGCCAGACTAGATTGTGAACCCGAAGTACTTCGCTTTGGACGTCGTCCTGAGAACTGCAAGAGAAGCGATAGCAATCAATGTCGAGAAAAATATAATATCATTACTTATTCAACACTTTTCACTCTTCCTTAACAAATTATTCATATAAAAGTTACGGAAATTTCTCCAATTTCCTCTCTAAAATTCCTCTCATCACAATGTTCGGGGTTTATTTGAAGAGGTTTTTGTGTACACCTCTTCTAAGGAATCTCCCCCCAGCCTTTCGAATGTCTCGATGTCATGCCCTCGAACTTAATCAACTGAAATTGGCAGTTGCGCTCAAGGAAAAAATACATCGTGTACACGAAGAGACGCATGGAAATTTGTGTGATAAAAGTTGCAACCATCACAGATTAAAGATCAGGATAAGCAGTACAAAGAGACCGTTAAATCGGATCTTAATCTTCCTTTAATTTGCATCTTGAGCTTCAGGGTAAATCTGTTTACACCTGTTATTGACAACATTGAAATTCAATCTTGTGCAAGCACATCCCAATTTAGATGCCATCCGTCCAAAATCTCCCAAATTCTCCTCTTCTCTTTCCCTCCCTCTCTTTCTGCACATCTTTCGCCTCGTGATAACTAAACGGAGATGAAGAATGCCACACCATTATTGTCTATTAATGCTCATCATCTGTAAATATACTTCCACCGAATTATTATCATGGTAAACACACATGTGGAGAGATGAAATTGTATTGAAAATCAAGTGAGAGTGAAGCAGAAAAATCAATACAATTCCCGTTTTCCTCATAGAATACGCACCATTCTTAAGAAATCTAGGGCAAAAATATCTTCTCTCCTTCTCTCAATTTAATACATTTCTTGTTTTATCCTCCCCCCAAGAAAGAAGAAAACATCTTTGGCGAGGTGTGGAAAGGGAGAAATGCGTAAGAGATTATTTCTTCATCGACTTGACTTGCTGTGAAAAATTGAACAGATGCAGAGAAAATGCTCAAATATTGCCATAAAACGCACAGTTTTAGCGCCATCATTCGCTCTAGAATAGGAAAATATCAAGTCCTCAATATTCCCAATCCCGATGGCACAGTTGTGAGCTCGCGCCCATTTCGAGGGCACATCTTTCGCATACAATTTAGACACAGGTGATTTGCCAATCGACAGAGCACTTTAAGTGAATAATGCCACCATTGATGTTCTTCTCTTTCTCTCTCTCTCATCTCAAACATGTTATATTTAGTGGGCAAGAAAATTGCGATGGGGAGATGAAATAAAATGAGATACGCATCAGGTAAAATTTTGAGGTAAAGTGTGTGTTGAAATTGAACGGAATGAGGGGTTCTTAAAGTGAAAATAAACTCCCCATGAGTATAAGAGGAGGCCAAACAGCATTTTCAACAACATGAGTTCTTGTGAAGTTCAAACCAACAAGAGAACGGGAGAAAATTCATTTTCGCCACTCGTGTGGAGCACAAACATGAAAGTGAAGTATGTTTGTTCGTGTCTTTAGCCATTCAATCGACTTTCCGATTTTACTTAACCTTTATTGATTATTTCCCATTAATACCTGAGGCTATAAAAGGCTCAATTTTACCACTCTATCGGATTCTCGCATTTGTCCCTCCCACATTTCGTCCCATTCTTTCTTTTCCTCTGCAGGACACACACACGAACACACAATCTTCTGAGTAAATTGCAAATTAGGTACACAGAATAATTAACTAATTTTTACATTTCACCAATTACACCACTTTCCCTCCTTTGCAGCCCAATTCATTCACCTTGCAAATTACTTGCACTTGCGCGCAAAACACCCATTTATGGTGGCAAATTATACAAGTTGAGTACAAGTAAGTAAATTTTGGCTGCTATTACATTAAAGTTGTATCGCACAGCAATTAAAGGCCATCACACAACGCACACAACACCACGTCAATAAGCTAGACTTGTGCCAATTAAGATTTATCATGATACCTAATGGGATCATTTAATAGGAATTTATTGAGCAACTTTTTTCTCTCTATGTTACGTGCGACGCAGTGTTGATATTGAGGAAGTCATCTTTTATTCAATATCATCTCAACCTCTCACAATGGTATCATATCATGTGAGAAAATTCATGTTTTGCCACCCATTTTTCACACATAGTTTCAACAATAATCATTTTGCAATAAGACATAAAAATTATTACAATTGTGCAAAAACTGCCATTAATTTCTCCCAATTGCCACGCGAGTGAGAATTTGATCGAGAAAGTCATGATTAAATGAAAATAATTCGCATTTTTCAGTGATTTACACCGAAATTCCTCGTTGGAAGCTCTTTTTTTATGGCGTCGCACCACAAAAAATTCACCTCAATACTTAAAGATAATTGGATTTTATGGTGGATATTTCAAATAACTTCTCCCCAATGTGCGGAAAATCTCCGAGAGAATTATGTAATTCCACAGAGAAAAGATATAAAAGGAGTCTTTGGTCACAGCCGAGAAAAGCCAGTTGAATGGTATTTTAATGGAAAGATTTCGAAACGTCTTTTATGGCATTCTTTCCTCCTTAGGAGTCTTTAAATTTTCCCCACTGCGATTACAGTGTCAATATTAAGGTAATGTTCTTGCATAGTTCAAATAAGAAAGTCTAATAGATTCAAAAGAAATCAATAAAATTACTTATTCAATCCACGATTGCAAGAAAAGCATCAGTTTCTGTTGCTTAATCACAAATCCTACTAAATTTATATCTTCCTCCACAATGATTAATAACCTATATATCAAAGTCTGGGATAAAACTGGCACAGGATAATAGAGTTGTTCAGTTAACAACCCCTTTTTGTCTTTTTTTTCACGCAAAATGCAATGGTGCTTACTGAATCTCAATTGAAGATTGATAGGCAAAACCCCTCACGACATAAGCAGCTCAACTGACAAGAGCCGCACACTTTCGTCGATAGGACGTCGGAAGTATTTTAATGGTAATTCAGTAGCATAAATCCCAACCCGTAAACAAGCCACACGCAATATTGTGTGACTCTGCAGTATGATTATCAAAGCATTATGCAGAATGGCAAAAAGTCCCCAATAGCACAGTGTTATATATGTAAAATACAATTACTCAATTGAGAGATAGAGTGAGAGAGAGGATGTGAGGCAAATTGGTCAAATTTTAAATTAAATCCCAGTGTTTGTGAGTCAACATTGTGAAAATGAGAATTGGAATCCTTTCTCTCATCCCACACACGACTTTCATCATCATGTCTGCATGAGCGTGTCAATATTTCAGATTGAATTACCCAGCGACAAGATGGGAGAACGGCGAGCGCGGTACTGATGGGAAGAGTTGTAGAAAAAATTGCTAATTGTGACAGAGAGAGAGTATTTACCTTTGCATTGATGGACTCGTGCGACTGGGCCACCTTGGGAGGCTCATCCGTTCCACTAACAGAATCGTCCAAATTAATCTCCCATGCAATGCTGCCCCTCTTGCTCGGCGTCACCGGCGCCGAGAGCGTTGGCGGCGGTGGCACGACCGGAGGCGGTGGCGGCGGCGGCAGTGATGTCTCCTCGAGGGAGTCATCAGAGAAATCATCGCTGTCACTCGTACGTGTCGCTGTGCCGACTGTGCCATCGAAATTGATGGAATTATTCTTATGATGGCCATGTCGTACTTTGATACGATTCAAATTGTTGATATTCTTCTGCATTATGATTGAGGATGGCGGTGACTTGGAGAGGAGCTCCTGCTGCTGCAGCAATTGCTGCGCGGACGGAGAATTGCTTATAATCGCCATAGGGGGACTGAGATGATTGCTCTCATCCGATGACGCCGACGATGCCGATGTCGCCGAATCCTGTTGATCGTACTCCAAATGGGATGAATTCTTGCGAATGTCGCGATGTCTCTCCACCGACGATGATGCATTGCGTGATGCTACACGACGCGGCGAAGAAGCACGTCCCGGATAAATCGTAACAGGATGCTCATTCACAATTGGCTCTATACATCAATGAAGAAAAAAACATATTCACAGGTTCAGCACGCGGGAGAAGAGGAACAGGAGGTGAGAAAGGGTGGCGCACAGATGTAAGGAAACATCACATTAAAGCATAGACATCATGCACTATATAATAGAAGCTCACCTGGTATCTTTCCCACGCCGACGCCACGCAAGACGGCATCGTGCACCGCACTTATTCCAATGCCCAAAATAGTCTTGCCATCACCACACATGTCTGCAAATGCCTCTGCTGCTTGGTCCTTTGTTCGACTCGCCCCAAACTCACGGGGTGGACTAGAATTTGGTAAGCTTCCGTAGCGACTCGCTGCCACAGTCACAGGACGTGCTTTTGGCTGCAAAATATTCAATCACACTCATTAATCATCGTCGCAGTCTTCGTCCGTGCCGACGAAAACAAGGGAGAGAGAGAAAAACATCCATCAGATGCATGAATTGCAGCCACGCTTCTTCTCAACATTTATAAATTAATTAATCCTTTCAACCCCTTTTGAAAAACACCCCGCGCGCTTAATGCGCTCTGAGAAATGCTCAGTCATTGTGCTCGCGCAAAATCACAACACATCAGCATCAATTAAATGCTTCAGAAATCATTGCATGGCTATGAAAAGGATCCCTTAAAATTTACAAGTATCATAAAGTAAATGTTGGATATCTTCCATATACAATCCCATCAATTCTACACAAGCAAAGGAGTATAAAAGGAAGTTTATGCGATATCGCTTGAGATATTGGATTTCTCATGATTGCATCATAAAAGATTTTCCCTTTTTCCAATAGTACACATTTTTTCGGTAGATGTGTAATTCTCAATGCCATCGATGCCATCATTCAATTGCATTTTTTTTCTTTCATTCTGCGCCGTCGTGTTACAAGAAGCGAAATAATATTCAACCAAGAATAAAGTTAGTCTTCTTTTTTCTCCAATCTTATCCCTCATCCTGAATATGCTGAAACTGTGCAAAGCAAATTGTCTCTTGCGTTGTAGCGTCAGCACAAGAAAAAGGTTGTGGAATTGAATTTAACCAATTCCATCAATTGATTCCTCGGCTGTAAGTTATTATACATATTCAGAGCAATATTCCTCCTGTATAATCCTCGAAAGTGGAAAATATATAGAGAGAAGAAAGAACGAAAAATGAATAGCTGATGGAGTGAAAAGGATTTTTACATCTTTTAAGAATATTCCCCCCGTTTTTTTTTTCTTCTTTACACACGACGCTTTCCGCTTTCCATACTCCCCTTTTTTATGCTGCGCCATCATCACATATATGTGTGAAAAACTGAATGGGTAAATAAGTATTTTTGTCGAAACATACCAATGTAGTCTGCTGCGCATGATTTCCGCTTTCAATTCGTGTTGTTGCCGCCTTTTCACCAATTTCCGTGTCCGTTGGCGTCTTTTCAATTTTTCTCATTCGTGCAAAGATACCATCAAGTTGCTCCTTGGTTTGATTCGAAAGTGGACTAGTTGTTGGCGAGATTCTGCAATATTAACCCATGTGAATTATTATATTATCCTCAACTCTATTCAAGTGCATTTTCTCCATCTCTCTGCTCATCGCCATTCTCCTCCCCTCTGCATTCATTTTAGACAAATTGCAAATGGCCATGTACAACATTATTAAAGAAACATGCCCTCTCTCGCTCTCCTCACATCAGAGAGAGCCCCATTGAAATCAGAAGCTCCATTGAACAATGGAATGTGAAGTGTTGGTACAGGGTTGTTGAGACTGTGTCATCGCGCATTTTATCTTTCATTCATTATGAATGACTGTGGGTGGAAAGCGGTCTTTTGTCTTCCGGCAGACCCATTCTTTTTCCAGGTACAAGAGTATGTATGCACCACATCCCTAAAATAAAAAAGCAGCATCCTCTGCTTGAATAAATGAGCCTCGTGCTAATCTCAATATTTCTCCGCCACCGACGTTTCAACACTATTTTAAAAGTCGTCACGTCTCAAAAACTCTTGAGATGAAACACCATCGCCAGCCGACATAGAAGCAATCCATTCAAACAAGGTCAATTAATTTTTAATAAGAAATTGACTCGTTCGAGCGTTACGTGAAAAACTACCATCTCATCTCTACCGAGAGCGAGAGGGAGAGAGAAATGGGCCTACCAGAAGGGAGATTTATTATGCGGTGGAAAACAAACTTTCCTCACCGCTTTTAATTATATTCACATCTTCAGGTACGCATTGACAGTAATGTAATTCGAAGAATAGGAAAAACAAGTCAATTAACTTCATTAGGTTTGTCATAATGAATTTTCTCTTGATACTAAAGTGGACTTTTAAAATTTAATTATACATCTTTCCTCATTACACCCATTAAAATATGTTTTTTCCCCCCAAATTTGACTTCCTCAAAAATTTTCCACCCCCTCCATCTTTGTTGACTTCTATCCATCTTTGCCGTCAAGTTTGGCGTATAATAATAAACTTCAACGTCATGCAAAAGAGATATGATTGCGGAAAACCAAGAGATATGCATTTAAGTTCCAAGCATATGAAAGTTTTCCATGTAAATAAATCATAACGATAAGATTGTGAATGCATCAGTCAAGTATTCAGACTGATAGTATTTTCTGCATTTATGACAAAAGCGCAATTTATTGTTGAGCTTTCCTCATTGTTGCTCATTCAGGCAACATTTCATTATCGCACATAGAAATCATGATGGTGCGATGTGAAGACACAACAATAAGACAAAGTGTGGTTACATCAGTCAACAAGTGAAGTGAATTTTCTTAGCATTCACAGACTCCAAAGTGCACTCTCAATGGGTGTCCGCACACAGCAAAATCTCTCTCCTCGCCATCGTGATGAAGAATTTGGTTTGAATGGCAGGAAATGGTGAAAAAAACGAAGGATGGTTTGTAATGTCTAAAATGTAACGTGACAAAGTTGATTTTTTCTGCCTCCCTTCGTTTTTCCACCTTCACACACTCTTCCGGTGGAAATTGACGAGAAAATAATAATTTGATTTATATGGTTGGCAACAGAGTTGAGGGGTTGGAAAATTTTCAATCAACACAATAAAAAAAATATATATAAGGGGTTTTAAAATTGATAACTCATTTGCTGACTCTGACGATATTTCGTGGTAAGAGCAATTTATATAACCGTCAATTCCACCCTTCGATTGCTTTTTCAATTTCCTGTGACTTTTGCATTCATTCGACGAATTGAAACTGAGAACGAATAGTCTAGCAGAAATAGCCAATTCCCTAGGAGGATTTAAAGCACTTCATCCCAACACACTCAGTCTGGTGACTTGAAAGCATCGTGTGCCAGTTGGAAATTTCTCTTAAAAGAGTTGCAAATGCAAATAAACCAGTATTTTTGCAAGTAATTGCAGAAACTTTTGCATTTTTCGGAGTCAGCAGAAAAATTCTGTTGATCAGGACTAAGTGTGAATGTCCCCAGAGTTTGAATAGGAAATTTATACCTGGGCAAAATGTCCGAGATGATACGTTCGGCTTCCTCGGGTGGCGGTGGTCGTTCATTATTCGAATTTGTGCCATGTGGAAGTCCTTCATCTGTCGGCTGGAAGCCGGGGGAGAATTTTGCCCTGAAAACACAGTTTCAAATCTTCAATTATCACCTATTTTCACCACCCAAATCCATTTTCTCGCAATATTTTCACACTATATACCATTAGATCCATAAAATGGCACAATGAAGAATGACATCAAGGATGAGTCTTTCAAGTGAAAGTTCCCCATTATTGATTGTCACACAATCAACACTCTCATGATAATTACATTAGATGAATCTGAGAAGCTTAATGTCCTTCATTCCCCCAGTTGATATCCACCCTCTCTCTCTCGCGTCATATGTGAAAAATTCACCCTCGACCAAGGAAATTCCATCCCAACATTCATTAGCGTGATAAGGCAGAAATAGACAAAGAAAATTTATTTATTGCAGAGTTGAAGGAAGACAGAATCACCGAGGAACTGAACACTGCATCGTGAGTGAGACAAAGATGAGGGAATTTTTCTTTCCACCCCCAACATATATACATTGAAACTCCCCATCATTTGTGCCATTCAGCAACAAGAAAATAAATTTATCGTCTATTTTATCAACTTTTTCCCCATCCTGTCGACGAGGACACACAGACAGAAAAAGGACAGAAGAAAGCAAATCAAAATGTAATAGTATATCCCAATTGTATTATTATATGTAGGTGGGATGGTTTTCTTTGGTTTTCAAGTAACAAAATAAAAACCACCCGTGATTCCGCCATTTTACGGATTGTACAAGAGAGAGAAGAAAAGGCGCACATAATAAATTATCGCAGAAGCAAGAGATAGAACACTCACCGTCGACCATTCATACTCATGTAGCCATCGTCTTCAGATTGATGGCCCTGCGAAGGACTCTCAGGCTCAACTGGTGGAGGCAAAGATTCTGGCTCTTCAAACTCCGATAACACCTTATCGAGCAGTTCCAGCGATTTCTCCACATCATCTATTCCCCCACTGCAAGAGAGGTGAAATTTTCAATTTATAACTTCATCTTCCCAGCCTCACACCAATGCTGACGCGGCCCCCTTGACAACCAACCAAATTTCCTGAATCACAATCATTTTGCGATTGTAATTAAGGGGGTTTGGAAGTGAGAAATTTTCACGGAGAAACTTGCCAACACAACTTTTGCGCCATTTTATACAATACACACCCGCCGCAGTATCACTCTTCCTCCATCTTCGGATATTCTCTATTGCAATTTACCACTCACTCGCTGGTGAATTTCTCAATTTTCCCAATAATGTGTGGCACATCTTGCATCAGCACCATTTGGAGATGATCATATGTTGCCAATTTCGAAACCAATTGTTGCCGGAAAAAGATCAAGAAGTATTCCAGATATTTTCTCATGCAAATCGTCATTCGTTAAATATGTATTCTCTTCACTCATCCAAAATACTTGAACTCTGCGTTTATTTTAAATATCTAATCAAGGTTATTCACACGTGAAGCTATAATTTTCCCGCACGAAGGCCACAAACATTGTACAAAATTTCCCTATAAGAGTTTCTTTTCCTCTTTTGTGTAAAAAAACAAATTCCAACATTGCTCAATAAAATGTTTAATTACTGTGACAATGCTCATAAATAGTGGCTAGAAAAGTTTTTTTTGTTAATTCTTATACCAGAAATGTCAAGAATATCAAATTGAATATAATCTTGATTCACTCTTGAGATACTTTCTTGTGATGCCCATAAATCTCCAGACAGTGAAACTCTGAGTTAAAAATTACTTTGCATATTAAATCTGTCTGCAATCATCCATCTATGACGATGTTCTCATTATAATTCTGTTCTTACAGTAACAGTCTTGTTTTGAGACTCATCAACTCTACCCGACAAATTGCCATAATTTTTCCTCCCATACTAAATTTCACATGGTGGATAAGAAGAATGTGTGTGGGGAGCGTATTTATCACATAAAGATGATATAATATGGGAATAAGACGACAAAATCAGAAACTTCTGTCCCATTCTCCCGACTCTCCATCAAAACTCTCCCTTCCAAAATGTATTGAGATTGTTTTCTACATGCTATTGAGTATTTTATGGGATTTTGTACGACACTATGAGTGGATATATCAAATGTGGGTGTTTCTTTATTGATTCCTTACTCTGTTCGAAGTATCTGTCTCGATTCAGCCTGGGCCATTGCACACGTTGTAAAATATTCAAAATTCCTCTCTGAAAGAGTAAAAAAAAAAGAAGGTGAAAGTTATGACAACAAATGTTATAAAATTCTTATGTACTTGTAAAGAATGCTTTCTCAACTCTATTTTGGGTTGTTAAAAGAGGGATATTGAAGTCAGGAAGTTTCTCGAGTGGCTACAAGACATTCAGTCTTTTTCTCTCTTTCTCCCCACTTGAAAATTCAACACTACAGACGTGAGTGGATATAGAAAAAAAAAACTTTCCATTGGAACGAATTACTTTAATTTGACTAATAGGACTTTTTTTCTTCCTACAAAGTGACGGATAATGTGTAAAGTCAAAATTCAACAAATTGGGTTACGAGAACCGATAGAGCAATGTGCTGTTTTTCCACCTCTTTGCGCTCCTCGTTGAATTCTCGAGGCGCAAAACGGCCAACTGTAATTGAACTTTGCTAAACAAACACAGCTCACACTTGAATATCAGACAATTGTAGCATTTTCCCCTTTTTACACTCTAGACACACAACTTTGCTCAATCTGCCCAAGTAACGGACGGTGTTTTTGTCATTTTGTCTCAATTTGAGACCCGCATCCGTGATTGTTGTGAGAAGACGTGTGCGAAAAAGATACCGAGACGCTCTAAAAGATTTAATTTGAAAGTTCACTATATAAACGTGTCGTATGATTCACACATAAAGGCAAAACCTCGGATATGTTTCCACATTTCACATCTCACCCATGCACACACACACATGCCTTTTCGCTCTACTCCTCCTCCTTATTCCGAAAAAAATACATAGTAGTGAATTGGATATTAAAACCATTTTACTTTCATTAACCATCCACAATAAACCATCAAAACAATTGCGTGGGAAAAAGAGAGAAAAACTATTAAGTGCAAGAGAAATGGAAAATTCAATTTGGTCGCTCCTCGATGATGATGTGTAACTGTTTTACATGTTACTCTCATCTCAATAAACCCACTCTTTCTCATATATAAAAATAAAACTGTGGTTTAGCATGGCAGTTGAAGTGGAGAGGGAAGAAGTTAGTGCAATTCATAGAAATATATCAGTACTATCTTCCACACAAAGCATTTCACCTCCTTCGCAACGGCGCTCTTCGTGTGCATGGCGAAATATGGCATGTGTCACAATTAAAAAATACAATTTATTTTTAATTTGCCACCGCACAATTTTTAAGTATCATTTCCCAACCCAGAAATCCAGACTGTTTTGTTAATTTCCCTTTCCTGACACAGTCGTAAAAGGGACATTTTTTATTTATCTTCTGCAATCTTGAAGCTTTTACATCTCCCCCTTTTCCAAACCGTAAAACAACACAGAACACACAGAATTACCAACAAAAACTGATTAATTGCTTCATGATAGCATTTCTGTTTGTGTTTTAAACACGAGAAAATAGAGTTATTTTTTGCATCTCTCCGCAATAAAGCGCCGCTCTTGACAGAGAAAAAACCAACCACAAAATCTCTCTTAAATGTACAAAACAGTAGAAGTTGATAGATTTAAATTACCTTTTTTTCACACAATAACGAGGAAATTTTCGTAGCAGAAAAAATGCACCAATGAGGAAAATATGATATCTGAGACTGATGAATTATAAATGCAAACAAAACAATACAAAAGTGTGTTGAATAAAAACCGAGAAAATTTCATTGGATTACCAATGATTTCTCACAGCCCAATGAATTATTTACAAAGTATGCACATCATATGTTACCTAATTTATTATAAATTCACAGAATAAGAGCACTTTTGATTGTATAACAATCAAAAAAACATGTCATCATAATGCTTTCTGAAGCATCAAAATGTCACTGAAGTAATGAAAATCTACCCACATATATTGCAAAAATAATCCACTTCGACCTTTAACCCCTGGAAAATCACCCACACCCAGCATTTCTCAATTTCTTTGACGCGATATACGCACAAAAATGACTTATTGTCCCCAATAATCCTTGAGAGGAATTTCAATAAAGCTCAGAAACTTATATAGAGCCTATATGTATTTTTATCCAAGGGGAGAAAATGTCCCAAGGAAAGCGGGAGATGTTCACCTTAAAGGCCATTACATTCTGACTGACCCAAAGATTAACCAATAAATTGTATAAAAGTACGTGTCATAGCATTTCTTTACAACACAAAGTGGATTTCTGTACACAATACAATTTATATATGCTATATATGTATATGTAATGTATAAGAGGAATAATACTTATCCCTCATGCTGAAGCAAAATTGTACTCCAATAATCGTGGAATTAGCGTCCTAATTCTCAGATTAATAGAGAGACTATTTATTAAATTATTAGTTCAAGCAAGAGAAGATGCGCTGAACGCGAAGAAAGTGCATGCAATAAATGGTTAATCGCTTCGTGGTCAGCTAGGTAGACAAATAGTGTGCAGTTAGTCATGGGAGAATGCTCTGCTCACACTACGCAAGTTTCGCAGAGGTAATCTTCCAGTTATGTGTATAACTAGAGAAGCTGTTCGCTGCTGCAACAACTGCATCGCGCTCAATACACTCTGAAATCAATTAACGAATCCAATTGGAAAATATTGACTCATCTGCATATTAATATTGATAAACAAATAATTTGTTTTAAATCACTTTAAATACTCTTCGGTCACGTTATACACAAGCCCAATTAAATTGCAATATTTATACACCACAGCGCGTATCCATATTTTAGCAGATGGAGTGTTTTGCTTTGGCATCGTCTGACCACTTATTTCCTCATTTCCACAAGCGATACATTATTAACGTGATATGACTAAATTTACAATGGTCACTGGAATCAGACTGCTCATATGTATATACTATAAATATTGCTGTTGATGAACTTATACATCGTGTGAAAATTTCATACAATTAACATATTACAAGATACGAAATTTCTAATTATGTTATATATGAAATTACTGCAAAAGTTACTTCCTGCATAATTTCCGTGTAAATTAATGTAACATTTTCAAAACTTAATGCCGTGAATTATTGCTTCTCGTCGGCTCAGGCTAGGGTGAAAGAGTATCACAATATCTTTTCCCATGGAATACGACACAAAGAGCTATGTATATTTCCACCCTGAGATTTTATTATCACACAGACATTGCAAATATTCACTCTCCTTCCCACCTTTCCGCCACAGCACATGGAACGGAGAAAATTATATCACTGCGTGCCGTGGAATTATTATATATGCGGAGATGACAGAAAAGTCATGGGATGGAGGAAAAGTATGTGTGAAAATTTACCATGAAACTGTGCTAAAATATTTATTTTTAATTCCATCCCCCTTCGCGAGAAGAGCACACATTTTCTCAAACCCCGGGTAAAATTGCTTAAAACTGCTCATCTACTAATTCATCCGTAATATTTATTAGTCACCCTCTAGGCGCGTTGAGGGCACACAGCAGCAGTTTAACACTGCGAAAATCATTGTGCAAATAAACTCCCCGTGGGGACTTTAAAACGTGTGCAAATATCTACTTCGCACATTCAGTGGAAAAATAAAAGCGACTCTGTTGCGATGAAGGTCACACTATTGTGGGCTGTAGGTCATTGAATTTATTCGCCAATTGTCTCAATATATTTTCGCCAATTGAATTTGATCATTGCCGTATTGATTATATGACCTCTGGACACTCTCAATTCACATCACAGTCCGTATGGTTATTTCGAACGAAACACCTCAACACCAATTTCCATTCAAAAGTCAACTTTAATTCATACGCACGCATTAATCAACTCCATCAATTGACACTGATTTTATTCTTCATGTAATAAAAAAATTGTAAGAGAAATTTAGTAGATATTAATCGTATTTGTGGTTTATCAAACGCATGTAGTAGTTGATTATAAAAAACGATCGTTTGATTACAATTTATGCGGGCTCTTTGGTAATCCACTGTGAACTCCTATAATAAATCTTCATTGCAAAAAATCATTACTCTCTTAAAAAAGTACAAATTTACAAAAGTTTATATCACATGTTTTTTTTTTATTAAAGAAAACACATTTTTTGCCACAAGAATTATCACGTAAAATGTCAGGTGGTTGAAATATGGAAAATCTGATAAATTTCGCTGTGCAATTTTTTACTCTCTCTCTCTCCCACACAAAATGCGCTTCTACAATAACTCTCCCGGTTCATACAATTCTATAAGCTAAAAGACTCATATTTTTCACACAATCAGAATCGGATTATCACATGTGGTAGATTTATCCAAAACTGAATGGAAATTTATACTCTCTCACTTTCTCACTCAAGTGATATTTCATTAGAAGCAAAATTCCACACGCCAAGTACTGGTTTTCTTATGCAAGAAAACTTCCACCCATGCTTTAAGACAAATCGTGTGATTTCTCTTCCTCTAAAATCTAACTTCAATTGTGAAAAATTGATTGACAATTGACTGTAAACAAATTTGCATTGGAAAATTACGTAAACATCTAGCAAGAGATAATTACATTTTCGTGAATGTTACACTTTATAGATGGAGAGCAAATCAATCCCTGTTGACTCACCGTATAGACAGAGTGAAAAGTGTGTAAACAAGAACACAACGCTAATCACTAGTTTAATAGCGTTGGTGAATATTACTGTGGCGCTTCATGTGAATATTAATGGAGTTTTTGAAGAAAATCGCACATTTATTGACACGTTCGCGGAGCGAGAAAGAGAACCATCAGCGCCGCATAACTTTGATGTTATACTTCTTCTATATATACTTCATGATGAATAATATCAATCATAAATTTCCGATTCATCCAGACACCGTGGCTCATCTCCAACTTCCTCGCATTAATTTCTCCCTCTGACTTTGGTGATTTAAGCGGCAAAAAAGGCACAAAAGCCATTGAAGCAATTTTCATTTAATGCGATTTTATTTCCTCACATACACAACCATCAAACATCGCAACGCCGAGAGAGACGAGAAACATGACTTCACTACGAGAGACACTATTTGTCGACAGTGAGGGGGAAAAGAATAACATTGGAAATAAATCTTATGTGTTAAAATGTGGGATGCATAATAAAGGACGGAATTGTGCAACTATGCCGATTGCAGTGTTAGAAAATTCCCCCTCTAAATCGGTTCTTGCTATACTTTTTTTTTCTTTTCTCCTCTTTTCAACACAATTCAGTCCCTCAACACCCACCCAAAAAGCACAGTCTCGTACCGGAAACAGTAGAGCAGACTATATGGTTTTCCATACACAAAATACGCCTCTCTATTTTCCGTATGAAAGAGTAGCGCAAAGACGAAATAAGTTCAACACTTTTGACGCTATCAATTGGTTTTTTTTAGTAGTGTATAGTGTTAATTCTTCGTCACATGCCACTTTGTCTATCTCCACAAAGTGATGTCGTGGAAACTTACATTGAAAATCTGATGGGGAAGTATCTCCGTGGTGACGAAAATTGTGCCCGAAACTATCTATTACACAAATTCCAAATCCTCCAAAGTATTTCACGTATTCTCAGCATGACCACACTCCATTACAATTATTTTCAACTCACAATCATTGAGAAAATCTCTCGACATTTCAACCAAAATACACAGTCCAAATTAAATCTCGCGTAAATTGCATGACTATTGTTGTTCTCTCTGTCTCTAAATTTTTTATACACTTCTTTTATTGTGCACTGTTTTATGCCACTTCACCTTTGGATTGCCGTGTAGGAAAATACATTTTCACAGTAGGAGATTTTAAACACACATGGAGAGAATAAAAAAAATATTGTTGAGTACTTTTTCACTTCATACGCTGCTTCTGACTCCCGCACTAGTAAAATTCTCCTTTTTACCCTTGCAACATCTAGGAATTTCTATCACACTTTTACACGATAGGCGGAAGAGGTATAAAATAAAACGAGGGATGCGGAAGAAAGACACTTTTGTATTATTTAGGGGAGACCTAAGCTTTATACAACTATACAATGGTGTGTTTCAAGGGGGGAAAATGGTGCAAGTATCACTTTTAATGAATGAAAATCACATCTACAATCCTACTAGCACAGCTGTAGCATTAATAAATCGCTCAGAAAAACAATCAAAGAGACTCCGTCTTGCAATGTCTCATGTGATGATTTTTTGTATATGTACAATGAACTCTCTCTGGGTGTCTCTTCAATTCAATAAAGTACTATTCAGTGTGGACAAAATACTCCGAAATAAAGACACAGATGGTAAAACCCACCAATCTCGTCAATTGGTAGCACGAAACTGAGCACGGAGCACCAACTGAGGCACTGCAGTACCGCGATTCCATGGCATTTTGCTTTCGGATACACTCATGTTTTCGAATGGGGGGACTCTCTGTCTGTACTCTCCCGAGCGCCCGCAGAGACCGACTCTACGCTTTGCCCATAGAAAATCTCCAGGAAGGAGACGAGCTGAGAGCCAGATTCTCTCTCACCCGAAGCGCACACCATTTATGAATTGTTTACTGTAGAGGTGCAAGTTCAATTTAATATACAATATCTGCGCAAAAGCCAAATGTTCAAGAGCACAAAATATATCTGGTCGTTTAGCAACTCTGACCCTTTCGGGGAATTTTTGATGTATATTTTCCACGTACAGAGAGAGAGAGAGAAAATGCCTCTCATATTGTTGGAAAATTGCTGGGAAAAGCGAAAAAGGAATCTCTCCGAAAAAAACCAGCAAATGCCAAAAAGATATTCACACAGGATGGAAAATTTTCTGATGCGCAGCCGCGAGGAAAATTGGGGAAATTTAATTTACACACCATAGATGACGATGTAAACAAATATTTCTGAACGAATATTCCCACTGTTATTTTCCACTAATCCCCCGCGGGATATTTTCACACATTGGCCATACAAAGAAGACACCAAATTACTCAATTTTCTCATCCACAAAAAATTTCCTTGCACCACTAGATTGCTCTCAGCACAACAATTCACACGTTTCTCGGGGACTTTTTACACACGCAATTATTGATTACGTCGCACAGACAGCGTACAGAGAAGCTTTTTGGCCTTTCTCTGTCTCCAGATAAGACGCTCTCTCGGCATGCATGGCAATCGCCAGAGGAGCAAGAGAGATGGCGTCATGTGCGCATTTTCATTTTCATGGCTAAAAGGGAAATTGTATGTATAAACATCCTATAGCGACACATCGGAGTACATAGTACATGTACAAAAGGACATTGAACAGTGCGGAAAGACCGCAAGGGAAAAGATGTACGAAAGAAAAGGAGGAAAACCCTCAAAATTTTCACATTGTTGTGATTCTTATGCTGTTTATTTCTATATGGACACTCTCTTTTAGTCCCAGAAAAAAAATTGCCATCAAGTCGCTTTTCCCTTTCCCATTTTCACACTCATCTAGAGATTTAAATTCTGCCTTTTCTCAACCACAAAATTAATTCACTAAAACTTCTTTTCCACACCTTCGCCATCTATGGTCCTCCTCTTCATTTCTCCTGCATAATTTCCAGTGATGATTATACAAGGACTAATACACAGTTATTGCAAGAATAGCTCTGCCAAAAAGTTGAAATGTTAATTTTATCAAAATTTAAATGTGGAACAGCATCTGAATTTTGTCTAATATGACACATGATGGAATGAAAAGCATTTTGAAGAAATCCCCTGACATTGTTCTTAAGTTAAAATCATCACAAGTGATTCAATTACGATACTTTATTACCCGAGCACTGGCAATTCATTTTCAGCAGCACATAAGCAATAGACAGAAGGCAAGCCTCAAAATTGCAATAGGCGTCTCTTAAATAAAGACATATACTAGTTGCCGACTCCCTATATACTTCATACACAAGATTATGTAAATCACTGAGTAGAAATGGCGTTTTGCACAATATTCCGCTGTTAGACACTCTTTAAAGTGTTTTAGGCTTGAAATCTCATGGGAGTGAAATTCCGAGAGAACAGCACTTTTTCCGGCCCAGCCCTAAATCGCCCATATAATTTCCGTGAAATTGCCATTCCCGAGACGCATTGGGAAAAATATCATAATAGTAAAATTTAATAATAGTGAAATATACACATAAAGAGAAGAAAATATCTTCCAGAAAATTCTCCTTATATTTCTGCAGCACGACTTTCAATGCTAAATTTCCATTCAATTTTTCCAATAACAGACTTATTCATACAATGCATAACATCATGAGATGCACTATTAACCCAACCCATTTCAGTTTTCAAACTCCACACTTCTTACACTCATTTGGCACAGCATTTTCTATCAAATGCATCGCTGGGAGTCAATTCATTTATGCATAAGTTAATTATATTCTAATTTCTCCATAACTGATGTAATTCTCTAAAAATATTTCACCACTGAATTTGCAATAAGATAATTCACCCACGCATTGTGCAAAGACGAGAGTGAGTGAGAGGGGAAAAAACCCACATTTTTGCACCAATAATTTGCACTTTGCAGCACCATTTTGCACGCCAATTTTGCGCCTCTTTCATTCAACCGACAAGGCCAACCGATGTAAGAGTGAAGTTGTGGACTTTGTGGTAGATATAAAATTGAGGAAAAACTCATCAATTTAATGGATATTGCTTTAATGTGAGAGAAATGCTAATAATTTCACCCGCAACACTTCGATCATCATTCTGTGATCAAACACCGCGATATTGAAACAGAAAATCAAAAGGGGAAAACAACTGAAGAATTCACTGCTCATGTTGCACAATAAATTTACTGACATTGACTGGTATTTATTTTCATTAGTGGCTATTTCATATCAAATTCACAAGTTGAAGTCCAATTTCAACTATTACATATTGACTTTCAATCCAAAATTGCTCTATCGTACTTTACACCCAACAATTTCTGTACAAAACGTAATTGGAATTTGTGGTTTAACCACACAAAGAGCATCGAATATAGATTGGCTTAAAGGGTTTAATAATGTTATTGACGATATTTAATGATAGTCAGAATTTGTGTTTTTTAGGCAATCACTTAAATTCCCAATAAAAAAAATCACACAGCTTGCAAAAGATTTATGTGTTTTCCACACAGAACCGCGTGTACATTAAGTTAGTTAGAACCCCTTTTTTTTAAAGAAGTGAAGAAAAACTCCATCGAAACACCCTTTCCGTGCTATAGTCAATAATCCCAATTAACTAATTGAAAGTGTATAGATCGAACTCACCCATGCATTAGTGACTTTCAGCGTTTTTGGTTCACTTCTTTCCGATAGAAGGCAACTGATATGGCACATTTAAAATTGGGCAGAAAGTTGTTCTTGTGCTTTCATCTGCTCGGTCTCAGCCTCGTAAATTTCACCACCCTGCGTAAGGAGACAAAACAGAAAAGTGTCAATATCAAATGTCACCTCTTTCAAGTAATGCATTTTGCACTGCTGTGTGTTAACTTGGCATTAGTGTTGTACTTCCCAATGTCCATCATGTTCGCGTATGATCCATTGGGCAAATTTAACGATTGGACCAAGTATTCTGCGGCCATCGTCACGACATCACTCATACTGATCGAGTCGTATTTTCGTGTAGGACAACTTATTGATATATTTCATCACACCATTCAGTTGGAGTCCATCTTTGCCGTCATCAAAATTGATCTCACGCTAGAGAGTGAAAAATCCTATCGACTGTACAAGCGGAAATTCATATTCTACACAGTCCAGCTCCTCGTATTGGAACTGTGGCTACTCCCTTATCTTATGCAAAACAACCAATTGATAAACTACTGGATCTTCACAGTGCTGTTCCTGGTGCAGAGTCGTTTTCGCCAATTGCAGCATATCTTCTACATTGATCTGTGCCATCACTACGCGAGAATATTAGCATGCAATGTGCAGCAACTCGCCATCTTTCTCAACACCCTCGAAGTTGAAGCATACAATGGTGTTTGCCTGGAGAAATACCGTCTCAAATTCGTTCACTATCGCTTCAAGATATTGCAGAAGTCACATCACATCTTGTGGAAAATATCAAACTGCGTCAATCAATACTTCGGATGGTCCCAAGTGGCCAATTATGCATGTCAATTTTTGGAACTATTAGCAGATTTCTACTGGCTCTATTGGAGAATCTACAATGAATCTTACGGACTGGGCATGTGCCGTATGTTAATGATGAGCAATTTTATCAATTACCCTCACTTGGTACACTTTTTCTTCACATTTGACCTTAATTTCCATCATCCCATATATTTCTCACCATTGCAATCACAGAGTTGATAGTCACATTTACATAAGTTCCTCACCAGATGAGAGATTAGAAAAACACTTTGTTCCTCAAACTCAATGGTGTAAAAATTGAAGTTATCTACAAAACATGTATTTCTCCTCATCTTTACCTACAGAAACAATCGGGAATTTGTTCCACTGCTTCTCCATCTTACTGTTAAGCTTCTATTCTTCAGAGTCATGCCTCGGAACTGTAATAAGCACACCATCTCATTTGTCTACCAATTTCTTGCAAACTCTTTTCCCTCTTTCAGATACACAGTATCTCAATTTGGTTACACCGTGTCAAGTTCACAATGTATGATGGCAAAATTTCTGAAACACTCCTCAATTTCTCACTACAAATCGTCCAGGAACCAATCGTATTTCATGCGATGGAACTCTTCACCATTGACTTCAAGCCACTTCGCTCAGTAAATATTTAACAAATTTGACAAAAATTTTACAATATTTCCTCAGTTGAAAACCTTTAATTTCAGATGATTAGTGCAATCACCACTTATATGGTTCTGTTCGTGCAATTCCTTCCGCGACTGATTACCTCATCGTATTTGCACACAGATTGAGTCCATTGAGAATTTTGGTGTTTGCAAATTTGATTACGTCATTAATAAATTAAATACTGGAAATTTATAGTTATTCTGTTTCAGTATCAGACGATAGAATGGCCTGTCGATGTTCCTCGACCAATTCCGCACGACACGGATACAAATATTCCTCAATGTTCGGCGTGTATCTGATTATATTGGCCGTGAGTGCCGACCGAACGATATTCATACTTGTGACCATCATCCATTCATTGCACTCCGGCGCATAACACTCCACATCGGAAATGGTGAATGTCCCATTAAATCCCGCCATGGCGAAAATCATGTCATCTATGACTTCAATCGCAAAGTTACTCCGAGGACTGATCATGTCCGTGATGGCGTCCCACTCCTCCGTGGCCGGATTATACTGTTCACAGTGTCTCAAGCGCACGAGACCATTGAAGCCACCGATTGCGTAAATTCTGCCCCGATGAGCAATGCATTTGAGACCAGATCGGCGCTGATTCATGTGAGGAATCATCGACCACGTGTCTCGCTCAGCATCATACACCTCAGCTGTGTTCAAGCACTCCTGCCCATTGAATCCTCCCAGGATGTATATGCTGCCATCCAGCACACAGGCACACGCGTCGGATCGCTGAGCATTCATTGGGGCAATTACTGTCCATTGATTTGTCCTGAGATCATATTTCTCGCAACTCCGCTGCCTCCCGTGACCGTCATAGCCACCCATGGCGTATATCATGCCATCCAGGAGCGCCACACTCACGTAGCAGCGACGCATATGCATTGGCGCCATCGGGAGCCAGCATTTCGTCACAGTGTCAAATATGCGACAATTGCTAAAGTATTCACGCCCATTGAAGCCCCCCACACAGTAAATTCGCCCCTCAATCGCCACGCTTCCATGGTACGCACGTGGTCCAAATGGATCGTCATTGCTGATGCGCACCCAGCGGTCGGCCCTTGTGTCGTACGTCTCAATTTCCATCTTGGCCGAGCCCTCACTCCATCCGCCCACAGTGAAAATCACCTCGTGAGGCAATCTCGGCTGTGCCAATTTGCACTGCGAAAAGAAACGTGATGCCGAAGGGTTGAAATCCTCAATTCCACCTCAGAAGATTCAATGAACAATGGATTTATTATACCTGAAGGATTTCCTGGGACAATTTCGCAGTGGTGAGGAACTCATAGACCCTCTTGAGCAGCAAATTTGCCTCTTCACACTTCACAATCAAAGAATTCTGTTCCATATTACGTTGAATTTCTTCAATATTCATCAAACCCATGCGTACATATTGCAGGAGTTGATAAACCATCCCTTCTCTCTCCTCCTTTGATTTTTCAATCCACTTCACGCAGGCATTCCACACGACAATTTCATTCTTCACATTTAGCCAATCACTGGCCAAAATTTTTGAAATATATCCAAAATCAAGATCATACAAATCCTGATTTTCATTCATCACTTTGACGAAGTCCACGATAATAAATTGAAAAGCCGCTTCTTCAAGATCTTTCTGAAATCTGCTTTCACTGAAGAGCAGAACTTTCACACAATTGTGAGTATTCAGTGAATTTTTGAGAAAACTTTTACATTTGTCCACCAGACCGTCGACCAAAAGATAATCAGCAACGCTGAGTAGCTCAAAAATGTCTTCGCTGTCCAAACTTAGATCATCTTCGTATATGTATTTGAGAACTTTCTTCAAAATCTCATATCGAATTCCATGAATTTCATATTCTTGTGTTTTACTGCTCTTTTCCTGAAATCTCAGAGCATTTATGAAGAGTGCTTGAAAGAATTCGCTTTTCTGAGACAAAACAACCCGATGAATTGGTAAAATTTGACCGTGATCAAGCTTCAAGATTGCATCGATAAACATATTATGCTCACGATATTTTGCAAATTCCTACAAATTTTGATTCAATGGTTAGAAAAATAACTTTATTTTCATTATTCCAAAATATTACCTTCATGTGCGGCATTCTTCAATATTCCCTCGAAATTTATCTCCGAAAAAATTCCACCGCTTATCAAACAAAATTAGTACAAAAGTGATTCGCCTACGTAAATTTTATACAGTCAATTTTTATACCTACACGTTTTTTGCCAATTAAAACGTCAATTTATCAATTTGCTCTGATTTAATTGAACAGCACACTACATGTGATAAATACAAAATGCATAAATGAGATTAATATGCATTTAATACCAAATTCCTGCACAACAAGCTTTTAATGCAATACTGTTACTAAATAGCCAGAAATCAGGGAGAGGAAAATTGATATTTTTAGACATGATAGTTCTCAACAGATTAACTGGATTTCCAACAAACATTCAACACACCCAAAAGCGGAGTAATTAAAATTGATGGACTTTAAAATGAGAATAAAATTAAATCAATCTCCCAACAAATTATAAAGTAGAGAAAAGCTAAAGATTGACATTGTGACAAGCTGACTGTTCTCGATTTTTAGGACACATTTTTAGCATCCGCGAGAATTCCATTAGAAAAAAATATAATTTTACTTTCAACGCCCTCAACGTATAAAATCAAGCTCTTTTGGAAAGTGATTAACCAATAAATCACAAGAGTTTTTCTTCTTCTGCGTCACAGTTGAATTGTGATAAAAAATTTCATGTATTTAATATTGAAAGAAATCTACACCAGAGCAGGTGTTGTGGAAAAAAATGAATCTCTTATTATTGATTTATGAATAGAGTGTGAATATTTTATGTTAGAAAATCGGGTCACTGCTTGATATATTTGGTATTTTGAAGATTCCATTTTTTTTCTCCCTCTCCACTGCTTGTCATTGTGTGATTTTAACACCTTTGTCACTTCGGAAAGCAGTGAATTTGTGGGAGGAAAGAATCAGAGACAGATAAGTAAACTAATCAGTGAATATTGGAAAAATCATGCAGGGAATTTCTTTGTCTATCTATACATCTTCCCAACTTCCCCAAAGTGTATTAAACCCAATAAACTCAACAAATGCCTTTCACACGTGGAACACATGATTGGACGGATGAATTTTCTGTTAAATTCCCTTCCATATCAAATGTGTCAATAGTAATCACATAATTATCTGATCAAAATCTGGTCTACGCACTTTATTATGGCGCTACGCACTGAAAAGCTCCGCTCAGTGCCTCTCAGTTGAATGTCAGGATAGGACTGGGAAACATGGAGCCATTGACAATTTTTCAAGGAATTCTCTACCTTTTCCACTTTGCGGGATTGTGTCCAGTGTCGCTGGAGACATCAAAAGACAATCCCAAGAGAATTGAGAATATCCTGCTTGGATTGTGGTCTCTTGTGAATCTTGCACTCGTCCTCACGCTCACCACAATCGTCTTCATCAACTATGACAGTGTTTTCTCACCCGACAGTGATGTGGGTCAATTTAATGATCTCGTGAAATTCGTCACCGTGATTCTAACACACGCCACAACTCTTGCCGAGGCCCTCCTCACGCGCGCCACCCTCCTGTCCGCCTGGTCACGTCTCCACACTGTGGACAGTCTCTTTCACCAAATCGGCATCGGCGTTACTCAGCATCGTGATAAATTCTACCGCAAATTCACCATCAAGTTCCTCATCTACATCATTGCGACACTCGCAATTGAACTCTCAATCATTGCTACAATTCAGTACGACAAAACCTGGACGAGAAATTGGCTTGCAACGTGTGTGTCACTCCTCATAAGCCGCATGAGGCATCTTCATCTTACAATGTTTGTCGATTTGATACGTTCACGCCTCCACATTGTGCGCAAGGAGTTGAAGCAAATGGTAGTAATTACGAAGAATAATCACTTTGTTCTCAAAGATGAACTCACCACAAAGCGCATCGAGAACCGCCTTCTGCAGATGAAGAAAATCTATGGTGTTCTGTGGGAGTGCCACGGAGATGTTAATTCGAGTTTCGGGTAGGTATTAATTTCTCTGCTGATTACACACTCTCCTAACGAGATCTCTTCACTTATCGTGCTGGATGAAAAGATGGAGCGAATTGGCAGCTTTGATGCAAAACTTCATTCAACTAACATGCGATCTCTACTGGATTTACTCCGTTCTCAATCGCAATGAGCTGAGGTCAATTCCTGATCTTATCTTAACCCTTATTCCAACATTCACAGCCATCATTCTGATGCTTCACTCCTGTGAGAAATGTCTTAATGACGTGCGACACATTGGCTTTTGGCTGCACAACATTGAGAAGGACATTCACAACATTTCAATGGACACATTGGTATAATAATTGACCGACACACAATTAATCTTGCACGTGTAATTTAGATGCTTATTAATTGTGCACTCATTGTCCATTACATTATTCAAATAACCCATCAAATCAGCACAATTCAACGACATACAAATCCCCGATCAATTCTCTCGTGCACCGTTTGAAATCTGGAACGAGTGTAACCAATCAATTAGTAACTTTGAGTACAACCAAAGCCGAATAGATTGACTCTAATGAGTGTGTTCAATATTTCTTTGAACTTGGGAACTCTCGAAGAAATTCATATTCTGTGAAAACTTCATAAATCACTGGCTATACAAGTTTCACATTAAAGAGATAATATAATAGTAATATTACTCAACATTTCACCCTGACATTTAATGCTGCGCCCCACAACATTTCATTGTACACTTTTTGCCCACAATGTATTAAAAATTTCACAAAACTCTCCTAGAGGATAAATTTCATTTTGCCAAGTCAACACCGTACAACTTTAAAAAGCACATCAACTTTTCATTGCAGATTGAGAATTTTTCTCTTCAAATCCTCCACGAACCATTCTCGTTCACGGTGAGTGGATTCTTCAATATGGATTTTCGTCTCCTCAAATCGGCAAGTATACACAATCCACCGAGATCTCCAACACTACACAAACTTTAAAGTGAAACTTTGTATCTCTCCTTTCTTCTTCTCTCACGTGCATAGATGGTTGCCGCCATAACAACGTATATGGTTATTTTTATTCAATTCATGCCAAAAGTCGATGAATCCAATTCACCTAATGAAACAATAACGACAACTACTCAATACCCTTTCACCCTGGTGAATCCAACACGACAGAGCTCATCCTAAGATTAATACTGGACAATTAGGAGGAAAAATTGATGTCATAAATTCATAGGCAAGTAATATGTTCTCCTCACGAACATCCAAAATCTCCTCAGTCAACATCAGAAGCTCTCCCTTCAAGTGTTTCTTCCGAAAATTTTTCCCCCGACGCCGAGAAACTTCCTCAGCGGCAAATAGACGCAATGATATTGGATTATTAATATTGTGCCACGTGAATCTCCATCCACTCTCTCTGCCTCGACATTATATCGCTGTGAGTGTTCTGTATTTCCATAAGATTTTCCTTTACGCGTGACATTGTTGGATTTTTGACTGACTTTTCGCTCAATATGCTGCACCATAGCCTCAATAGTCACTTCATCATAAGCTCCCAAATTCAATTGTCAACAGAAGAAAGACACATAAAAATGTAGGAATTCATCTTTCACCGTGTCAGTGATTCCAATTCAAAGCAGATGAGATGCAATAAAAATCTCCTCAGACGATTAATATTCAAATTGATTGGTATTTCAGTCCTTTGTTTCATCGTGCAATTGTATTTCATTATTGCTGCTATTCATGCAACAGGGAATTGCTTTTTAAGAACGCATTGCCTCTACATTGTCTCTCTTATATTGTCACGCTTCACACTTCCATTATACATTCCATTTGCTGAAATTCTAATAAAGTCAAGAGAAATCTCACTCACTTCCAATAGATTGAGGTGGCAAAGATGCCTCAAAGAAGTGAAATTGAATTACAACAGTTACCAAGTTGCTCAATTGCTGAATAATTCTTGCGGAATGACACAAGTCTCTTTAATATTTGTGTATATCTCAGCTGCACACTCTATTGGACACCAACATCCCCGTCATTCAAGTCAAATCCAACCCACCAATTACAAAGTCTCTTCACTATGATCCACACATGCAATGAGTTTCACGAAAAGGTTCGTCACACACCCCCTTCCGCCCTCTGCAATTGAACACAAGGGCGTTGAAGTTTCCACCGAGTGGTTTGGCGATGGCCAAAGTGGATCAATTGTTTGGGACATCACAATTGAAAGTGGAATTTCCAATTAGCACATCTCATCAACTTTTACGGTTCATCCCAAAGTATATATAAGGGTTTTCCACCTACTCAGTTGTTGAAAACGTTGTCCATTGAGCACTATACTTTGTTGTAAATGTAAGCTATCTAAAATCAACCCTCTAAGAGAATCATCATCAATGTATAGATTATATTTCACCCAATAGAAAAGATAATATTTGACATGTGAAAGTTATTCTTCTTCTGGGTGGCTTCAAGAAGACAGATTGGAAAATATGAAACCCATAAAAGTCAATCAAATAGTATTGATTTTGGCTTTACTACAGCTCTCACTCTTTTTCCCCCAAATTCACTTGCTATTCAGACAAGTTTCTGTGGCATTTCCGCGAATTCCCAATCAATACAGTCCCAACAATATCACAGTTCAAGTATAAAATTCCAATAAAATAGCAATGAAAGACCTTAAACTACATTTTGTAACATCAAATAAATACATCCTCACAACAAGAATGCATCTTGCCTTTTATGAACACCAATAACAATTATTTCTGAATACATTTCTCCAGTGAAAGTTACACCATAAAGATGATGATTTTGAATACAACTTTTGAATATTTCGCAAAAAGTCACAAATAAAAGGATCATAAAATATTGCCATCACGCATTGGAAAGTCGATGTGATAGAAATCCGACTATCGAGATATTTTGCAAAACACCTGAATAAAATTAACCTTCACTCCACTGAAAGTGTTCTAAATTTAAATCTCAAGTAGCACAGTGCAATCGAAGTTTGTGTTAAGTGGAATCAGAAGCATTCATTTAAATATTTATTAATTCATGGCAATTAATGTCAATTC